TTGTCAAGTCCAATAATTGGAACTGCTTCCGTCTCCTTATTTTGTTGACCCAGCATGCCCACACCAAAATGGGGAGCAAGTGTTGGTATACGAGCAACTATGTCTAATTAGCGGTAAGAATCGCACGTTTGCTTACGGCATACTCACTAGGCCAATCAAGTTGAACGAGTCGGCTCGAGGTCTTGCCAGACTCGTCCCGTACGATAACTCGACCTCCGATGCTAAGATCCCGATCCCACCAGGTTTCATTTAGACCACCGGCGTACGGAGCGACTCCTAGTTGGATATACCCAGCTTTGGTCGGCTTATTGCTAACGGGCTTTAGTTTTGCGGTTAAAGCGTCGATGTGACCTGCAATGATGGCTACACCATTGCCGGGCTTGTATGCCTTTCCAACCGTGAATCCAATAAGGGAGGTGCCATTTCGAGTCACGTAATACTTGCCACCAGCCTTGAGCTTCCCAGACCAGTCATCCCGTGCAGGAAGCTTACAAAAATGTTTAGCTTAACTATCTCTAAAATTGAAATCAACTTGGAATACTAACCTCCTTATAGTCAAGGGCATTCAATTTGTCTTTGAAGTAACCGACGGAATGAAATACGGTAGGGTTCTCCTGAAGAAACTTGCAGAAGGGCTCGGTGAAAGCCTCGGGTTTTGACGCTAGGACATCACACACGGAACATTGCTGCGTATCACTTTCGATTATGATTTTCGTACCGGTTCGCTTTTCTTTGGGTATATCTCGAAGGCAAGAATCGCAAAGGGACACTGACCCGCTGCGAGCTAGGTCACCGACGATAAATGCCTTTACAGCATCGGATATAGTTGACTCATTTTCGAATTCGGAAGGGTTGGCGAAGCTTGACAGCCGAGACGTGCTTAAAGCATTTGTTGCCGCCTCGCTTCGGAGAGACAGGTTGGAGGTGCGCTGGCGCAGGTAACCGGATGTGTGTCGCGTCATGTTTTAACTGTGAAATCGGTTCGAATTCGTAGTTGCCTAAGTGAGGGAGTAGAGTAGGAGACGGGGTTTTGACTTGAGATGTCGGGTAAAAGAGCGGTAAGTCGGCTTTGAAATGAGTGAGAGATAGGAGGTTGGGATGAAGAAGTCAACACGACCGCAACTACCAGGCAACCCGACATGGCAAGCGCGCTAAGAGATTGCGACAGATAAGACATTGCATCAGCTGCTAATTCCAGATGACCTAGCTCGGAGCCTCAAGTGCCACTTACACAGACACGCTGGCCTTCTCCCCGGACCCACTAGTGGATGTTAGGGCGGGAGGTACATAGGTACGTAGGTCCTTTAGGTACCTAAGGTACCTCACTAGCCCCGCCCACTCCACGCTAAAAGATACAGCGCAGTTACGTAGAAGCTTTCAAGTCAAGAAGACATCAAAGTCTGGGAAAGTTAAACTTATATACAGTATAACCACATACAGTATCTTTGCTTTGACTATAAATAACTTACATATATAGTGAAAATTTAGTTATTAACATTAAGGTTTCCTATCTCGTCTCTTATCGCGATTCAGTCTTTGCTAGAGCGTAAGTTCGAGGTTTCTAACTGCAACCTTTAATACCTAACTACCTAGGTACCTACCTATTCAGCTAACTAAGTTGTCTTTGACCTACATCCATTTAGTTGATATTCTCATCGGAAACATGATACGGACGAACTCTTTGAGTCTTTATATCAAATAAATTGTTGGGTCCACGAGAAATGCTAGTTCTAGTCGATTACGGCATAATTACCCATCGTTCATCTTCACATCAAGTTCTGGCTGACGCCATCATGGGTAAGATTTTAAGCCTAGACTCCCTTGTCGGGAATACCAGTCAAAGCCTCGCATATTATTGCAGGCTAGCTACCCTATGGCCTTAGTACGGTAGGATTCCATATATCAAACCTCTCATCCTATTATGAAAACAATTTCTGCTTATTGTTCTACCTATGTTACTGTAATCTCTAAATGGATGTTTTTATTTGTTGTGGGCTAACAGTCCTAGAGCTGGTTGCGCTCCGGCCTAGCAGGGAACTTGATAGCCTATGGATATTTAAGAAGTTCGTTGCTGTGTTTCTCATACAATACGCCGTCCTAAAATTCTACCGTATTGTGTTATACCCAAACTTCTTCTCGCCACTTAGACATTTGCCAGGACCAAAGGTATTCTGTGAAACAAACCCACCTCACTCAATATTGCTTCATTCTGACCTTGCATGTAGGATCATAATCTAGTCCTTGGGCAAGAAGTAAAAAAGTTCAGAGCCGATGGCCCCGCTAGCGTTCAGCTACAATGGATGCGCAAATGGCCAGACACGCCATTTATTAGATACATCTCGTTCGCTGGCAAGGAAGTCCTACTGGTAAATAGCTTGGCCGCGCATAAGGCTGTTCTCCAAACACACGTCTACGATTTTGTTAAGCCACCTTTCTTTGCGCGGTTGGTTGGAGAGATCACAGGTGTAGGCCTATTATTCTCGGAAGGGGAGGCCCATAAACGCGAACGAAGATTGTTGGCAGGCCCCTTTTCAGTGCCGAGCATGAGAAAACTCTTACCTGTCTTTCAGACAAAGGCCAAGGCCCTTTCGAGTGTTTTTGAACAATTGCTCGGCGAAAAACCATATGCTACCTTAGAAGGTACGGTAATGATGAAATGCCACTATTATGACCTATGTTATTGTAAGGCTAATCTATCTCTTTTTAGCAATTGAAACCTTTTCTAAGTCGACCATGGATACTATAGGTGTAACGGTGCTAGGAATCGAACTAGACACTATATCGTCAATGTACCCGCTAGGTTTCCAGGAACTTTATGACCGAGTGCTTCACCAAGGGTTTCTAGGCCAACTTATCTGGGTCATTAATGCTTTTCTACCAGTCCGAGGTATTATTCCTTTAGAGGCAAACCGCAGATTCATCCAAACGACTGCCGACTTGAGAAAGATGCTGCAAGACATCATTCAGCAACGCGCGACGGACCTAGCAAACGGGACTTTCAAAAGAGAAAAGGGCGAGTCTAGGGACCTTCTTACATATATGTTGGAAGAAGCTGAATTGCGCCGACAGGAAACAGGGGAAGATATCTGGTCTATAAACGACATAATTGGCCACGTGAGAGTCTACTTCCCGTCCTTCCAGTAGTCTAACACTGACAAGATTGCATTTTCCTAGCTTCTAAACTTCACATCTGCAGGTTCGTCTTACGCTTGCCTGGCCGTATTAACACTCTTAACTTCATAGCACTAACTTGCGACCCCTTAATAAGGTCATGAGAGCACGGCAGCCACTTTATCATGGTCTCTCTACGTTCTTGCAACCAACCCTGCTATACAAGATAGGCTACGGTTGGAGATAGACTCCCTACTAGAGACCGACCAAGAGCCAGATTATGACTCAATTTCCGCTCTACCGTATCTGCACAATTTCGTTCGTGAGGTGCTTCGTGTCTATCCCCCATGTGGGTCTTCTCCTTACCCCTTTTCCCTGAAGATGTCTCTATTTTCTTGAGAACGACGTAAAATCTCCCAGCTAAACTAATTGAACTTTAAAGCATACATGGCACAGCGTGAAGCAACCCGGGACCTCGTAATAGAGGGTGTATCTATACCCAAAGGCACACAAATCGATTTCAATATCCCGCTTGTACACCAGCACCCGCTAGTCTGGGGTCCGGACGCCACCGTATTTGACCCAGACCGTTGGGACCGGCTGACGGGCGATGCGGCCACACCATTCGCGTTCGAAGCCTTCCTTCAGGGCCCACGGACCTGTCCCGGCCGTAACTTCGCTCTCATCGAGGTCAAAGCCGTCCTTGTCGAGCTGGTCCCGCGGTGGCGCTTCCTCGGTATCGAGCGGCGGAGTGGAGAGCTGCTGTCCTCTGAAGAGGAGCGCGTTGGCAGGGGCGTTAAACTGGCGAATCCAAGTTTGACTTATAGACCGGCTGATGAGTTGTTAGTAAGGTTTGGGCGGGTTAAGAAGCTGCTTTAGGGTTTGGAGCATGAGATAAAAATTTAGCGGAAGTGAAACAAAAAGACTACAACATTGACTCGAATATATATATTATTTAAATTTACGGTATACGTTTAAATCCCGACTCGAAATGAAAAAAAGAAGGGAAAATATGGTAAAGACGCTTTCTAAGAAAATAGATACGAGGCCAAAAAAATCTTTTTCGTAATGCTTTAATTTGTCATTACAAATTTTATATAGGCACACCCCCTTTTCCATTCAAGGTTTCGACAGCTACGGCGAATACTGGTTTGTTTTGCTCTTTTCCGACTGGGTCCTATCTCGTTGGATGGCCTGTCTTTAGAGAATTACCTGGTCTTAACGCTCGCAAGCTGAATCGAACCGGAATCTTTGCGGGTGGTGTTACCACAGACGTAAGGATCAATATCTGGCACGGGCTCAGCTGAATTTATCTAAGCGTACGTACGAGACTCTCAATTGTCAGATTCTACCACTGCGCTAAAGGGCACCTTGTGATCAGTCAATTGCCATTGCTTAATATATGCAACACTTGCTTACTGCTCATAGCATCCAATTTAGTGTATGTCCTTAGGTGCGAAACAGACAGGTACACATTCCACATACCTCTTATACCAACCAACAGGACATCGAAAACACTAAAAAGATACAATTATAAGTTAAGAATAGTATAAGCGACTCAATCAATCAGATTCAGATGAACAATACACCTAAGGGTCTATAACAAACGTCAAAGGAGTAGTACCTAGGTAACAAACAATAGCAGCTATTCCTGGCGAAAAAAAATTCAAAAAAAAACATACAACACCGGGGATTCGCTGGTCGTCACCGACCCAACTACTAGTCCAGCGGTATCCGGCTTGTCAAGGGGAGAGCGGACGGGATCCCGAATTTTCCAGATCCTATGGTCGTATGTGATGATTTTGGTTGCTGATATGGTATATATCGTATACTTTGAGGGTATCACGTTTGGAGGGTGGGGGTCCCCTCTCGATTATTGCCAATTGGCACTTAAGCTCACGACCTTTCCAATAAACCAACCCTCATTACAACTTGAAATCAATATGCTAACTCAGGTACCTAAAGTATATGAATAAATATTATAATGCGAACATACCGCTTCCTTTATACAGTAATGTAAGTCTACAATCGATATGACCGCCGTAAAGAGAACAGGGCGGATAATGCGACCTTTCGAGCTAGATCCAACCTCCTATTTTATCTAACCAGTCAACTCATGCAACATTTATACCTCACTTCCCTTCTAACCCAAGTAACGCTAGACAAAGAATCTCACGCTCAAATACAACTTAAGCAACTACCTTACACGCTCTCGTCACTCATCTCCGACTTATTCAAGCCCTCCGCCCGGCGGGCCTCCATGCGCTCATCAAGCATACTTCCCGTGTCGTCGTCATCATCATCGTCTTCCTCCTCACTCTGCAACCCCCTCTCTTCTACTCCTAATTCACTAACGTCTTGCGAAGATGTAGACTCCAGTGGTCTCCGTCGCTTCTGGAAGTCCTGTTTGTGCGCGTTGGCCATAATACCACGAATTGACCACCCACGTGGTACCCCGGGCTGTCTGCGCCACCGCATTCCGCTCCCCTCTGCCTCTGCCTGTTCCTGTGCTGGGGTCTGTATCTGCGTTCTAGTCTGTTCGCGGCCAAGCGCTGAGGCACCTACTGTGCTTACGTCAATCGCACTAGCTGTAGCTCCCTCGATAGGCAGTACAGGAGCTTGCTTTAACTGTGTTGCCGTTCTGACGATGCGATTTTGGTCTTCTTCCTCGCTGCTGGGACGCTCAACGAGGGGTTCATGAGGCACCAAGGGGTAGGGTAGGGGCACGTCGCGGCTGGCCTTGTACTGAGCAACGTTGCCACAATGCTCATTCTCGACGCGGAACAAGGCCCACATGCCGCGACGTGTGACCTCGGCCAAGGCGACGAGAAATGAGACGATGGTACTGTGCTGCTTGTTGTGGGCGAAAATGGCGTAGAAGATCCAACTAAAACGTAGTATTGGATCAAGCACCATGATACCGTAATATAGCCACCGACTTTTGAGCCCCAGGATGTCACGGAGGAACCGGTGTCGCGTATTGGGCTGGAAGAAGGAAAAGTCCATAAACAAGTCCCATATTGCTGGAAATACGTGTTAGAAAGTGATTTGCTTTTTCTACAACTCCGAAAAATGAACTGGAACTGTTCGAGAGCTTACAAGTATATATGCTGTTCATAATGGAAAAGGTGACGAAGAGCCCGAGATTTGAATCCGTGGACCTCATGCGGTACATCGATAGGGTTACAGCCGACATGATTGTCATGCCGTACTTGCCACCGTTGACCAGATGCGGGAATACGTTCTTAGTATCGCGGTAACGACGAATGCACTGCAGCGCACGCCAGACTGGGGGCAATGCCGAAAAGAATCCTAACAAGCGAGAATTATTTGAATTACATTGAACGGGGTTATTCCAATGATGTGCATAGAGGCAAAAGAAGAGTTCAATGTTCTGGTTTCCTAATTAGCTCTTATGGCAGGTTATGGACCATTGACCATCATGACTTACCGAAGTAGCATAGGTAAGAGAACAGTACATGTCACCGAGGAAAAAGTCGCGGAATTCGACGGGATATAATCCGGCGAAGAACAATCGATACTAGAAATGTTAACGTAAGTTGAGCTGATGGGGATTTAGTACTTACATGAGAATACATGAGCCATTGTCGACTCCTGTGCCATAAAATCGGAGCTGGAAGTATGAGGATAGCGAGCGTGATAGCTATTAAAATTACCGGGTAGTATAAATATAACTCTTCTGACCCGTACCTGGTGAAGTTGATCCAGAAAAATATACCAAAAAGCAAGAGGAAAAAGCTGGGGAAGCTAGACAGTTTTCTCCAATCCAGGTTGTTTCTCGTGTCGAACTCAAAAATGAAGGGATAATTGATCTTGTTAATTGTCCACATGTAGCAGTCAATGCAGAATAAGAACATTAGAACGAGCATTAGAAAATAGCCACCGTATATCTGCATAAGGTAGCTAGTCTGCTGTTGTACCACGGGATCCGGATCGAATAAGAGTTGGGCACCGTATACGAGACCCTGAGTGGTAAATACAGCCCCGGTACCGATGAAGAGTCCATTCCGAAACGCGATCGCGGATTCGTCCCCTGGCCGCCGATTTAAGCGATGGAGCTTCCCTGAGGCAATCTTGCGATTGCCCTTTTCGAAGTATCTCGCGTACAAGTCCTCGACTGCATGAATATATTCATCCACTGTGGTACTATTCACGAACCATGACTTGTTGACTTTCTCATTCATATACTTATAAGGCGGCCGAGCATTAACAGCCTTGTCATACTTCTTGTTGAGTTTTCGGAAAGCAGTCCGGTTGAGTTGGGCATAAGACTGGAGAAGTTCTAGACCCCTGTAGAACTCTTGTAGAGCTAGCTTTAACTTTCGCTTTGCCGTCCTGTATGACACTTCGTGGCTAGCTGGTCTCCTCATATAGTCCCTTTGCGAGTCTGCACTCATTGCACCAAGCACTGGAGTGAAGTGCAACTTTGAAAATGCCTTTGAATTCGCGCCAGGCTTGAATATTCGGGACTTAATCGGATCGACCCAACTGAGAGAATTGTTGGTACCGGATGAGACCCCATTATTATCATGACTACTACCGTCCTCGCCTCTTTCTTTACGTTGTTTTAGCTCTGCTAGTTCTTGTGTACGTCGATTCCGCATCTCGTGCAATTGGTCCCGGAGAACAGCCAAGCGTTGTCCGGCCTGATCTTCCTTCTGGCGATAGAACGTCTCTACCTTATCGAGTTCGCTATCTAGGAAGTCAAAAAATTCTTTTTCACGCTGCCTAACCGTTTCGATCGCTTCCAAGCCATACCCGAACTTGGCGCTCTCAGTTCTGTTAAGACGCTGGGTCAAGTGCGGGCCGGTCGAGAATATACGCCGAAGTCTGCCAGGCGACGCGTCTTGCTGAGGCATAGAACCGCGGCGAAGATAGGAAGCTAGTTGTGAAGCGTCTCCTGGAGTGGCTGAATTCATAGATGTACTGCGCCTTACAGGCTGCCGGCTGATGGACTTCTGAAGCGTGTTCGTTGGCCGAGATGGAGATTGTTCGTTTGAGATCGCAGGGTCGCCCATTGCAGGGCCTGGCAACTCGAACATATTCCAATTTTCCATAGTTGGAGGCGGTGTAGGCACAATGCTACCATATTGTCCCTCATTTCCCGGCGACGTCGTTAGTGATTGACGTCCTGTCCGCACGGGAATAGGTGTCGATTGAGCTCCTAATGCGTGATGAGTCCCCCGAGTTGCACGTCCTATGGGTGCGGGGCTTGCTCGTAGAGACTCAGTTTCATCTACGATTCCTGCTTCGGGGCCTCCATTCTGCTGGCGAGATAATTGACCAGGACGAGGGGTTGCCTCATGAGGTGGAAGGTCACCCTTTCTCCCTTGACCTAATGGCGTTCCATATGCCTTGTTAATTGCTCTCGAGATAGCTTTGATATGTTTCTTGCCAGCCTTGTAGTTTAGATATTTGGCTCTCCATTCTAGTTCCTATGTTAGCATTCATATATATCTGCTCTCCCTTTCCTATGACTACCTGATTATACTTAATTCACAACTTACCTGGCACAAGGTCCTGCTCGAGCTCTTTGGCAAACTTCATGACGTCAATGAGATGAGGCAAGGGTTTTTAACCTTTCAAACTTTAGATTTATTTCCGTACGCATGGAACAGTGGATTGAATTAGAGAATTAGGGCAGTTGATATTCAGATATTCGGGGTGGTACCCAATAACAAGTCAATCATGAAGGAAGGATTGTACGAAAATGGGCCCCTGAAATGGCGCGCACCGCCGGAGGAGAATTTGATCCAGATCAACAAACGAAGAAATCAGAAGACCCGCCTCGTTTGTTTAAAAGCTGAAAAGTTTCGTGCTCCATTCTATTTTACAGGGTAAGATTACTACATCCTGCATTAGGTACCCTGGCACACCGTTCTTCAGTGGGGTCTCTTATGTGCCTTCCCATGCCTTCCCATGCCTGCCTATCTCCATCTTGCATCCCGGTTCAGACTTCCGATAATGGATCAGTGTGAACCACTATATAAACTCCCGAACAGCATCCGGCACTTTTAGCGTATCCCTATATTCGAGTAGCGTGATTGCGCTTCTTTAAGCTCGTTTCAGCTACAGATTTGATACGGCTACTACCGGTATCCCCTAAATTCGCGGGGTACGATGAGTAGTATGTAAATATTAATGACGTTACTTTTCGCTCATTCTATCATTCTAGATAAAAGCGCGCTCTTCCTATCTCGGCTACCGCCGCTTCAAACCGGGTGGTATATTGTTAAGTTGGTTGAATTTATAGTGTTGAATTGAGCTCTTGCTTATTGGCTCTTTCTCTTTATCTCTTTAAACTTCTAATTCATGATTAAACTAATGTGTTAATCTAATAGTATATCAATCTAACATTAATATGCATTACCACTTATACCCATGCGCTTTACTCATAAGCGTCGAGACAATGAAAGGCACATTCTGTGAAAGCGACTCTAAGAATTATAGGACTTGGAACCAATTAGCATCCAGCCACGACAGGGCTACAAAACTTATTTTGACAGTCTGCCCCAATTTTTAACTATTGGCTAGGTCTTCCCTCACCCACCACAGCCTCATTCACGAAGTCGATGAGAGTGAAAACATTAGTCGGCGCTACTACTATATACCTCATGTATATTCTTATTTTTAATTTTCCAAGTTCGACTCCATTTTAGAGTCTATCCTGACTTTTTTTCAAGTCTTTGACTAAAGCATTATGGCATCGTCGCCGGCGGGGATAACCCCTCGCCTTGTTGTGTATTACCAGACTATCCACGACTCCAACGGTAACCATATCTCAATATTGCCCTTAATCACGAAGCCTGATATATCGATCACACACCTAATCGTGGCCGCGATTCACATCAACGAAGATCCAAATGGCTTAACACTCAATGACCATCCCCCCTCAGACCCGCGATTCATTACCATGTGGGCAGAGATGCGCATTGCTCAAGCTAGCGATATCAAGGTTCTTGGTATGTTAGGCGGAGCGGCTAAGGGTTCTTATACTCGACTCGACCAAGATCAGGAGACCTTTGAGAAGTACTACGGTCCTCTCTACGATCTCATTCGAGAAAGAGATCTCAACGGCCTCGACTTAGATGTTGAAGAGCAAATGTCGCTAGGGGGCATCGTGCGCCTTATCGATAGACTCAGAGCGGACTTCGGCCCCGACTTCATCATTACTCTTGCGCCGGTCGCAGCAGCTCTCCTCGATCCAAGACGTAATCTCAGCGGCTTCGACTATGAGGCCCTGGAAGTTATGCGTGGCAAGCAAATTGCTTGGTATAATGCTCAGTTCTATTGCGGATGGGGTGACGCTAGCACCCCCGTGATGTATGAAATGTGCATCGCAAGAGGCTGGCCGCCGGAAAAGGTTGTCGTTGGTCTTGTGACGGCGCCAGATAACGGACCCGGCTGGGTACCTTTCGAAGTTTTAGGACCAACGCTGGCAGTCCTGCGACACCAGTTTTCTAAATTCGGAGGTATCATGGGATGGGAATACTTCAATGGGCTGCCAGGGGGCAAAGAGCGGCCTTGGGAATGGGCGCAGCGCATAACGAAGCTGTTAGGTGGCACTCGAGTTTGGGATGCAGAAAGTACCAACGTAAAAAAGGCTCAGGGTAGAGGGGTTGTCGAAGTAGATCCGGACGCTGGTAATGGTCCAGGTCCAGAGATTCCTCAAGGTTTCGAGTATTACTCTGATGGATTGGATGAGGATGAGTATGCCAACTAAGTTGGTCTTGGTAAAGAATGAGTCACTGTAGGTGCGTCAGGGTCGTACTTAGAATTTGCGTGTGCTATCCAAGTCTCGTAGTGAATGTATAGACCGTCAAGGAGAACAATCATAATACCGATGTCAGGACAATATCATCCTAAAATAGGATCGCGAGCGATGAATTCTAACATTCAGCGCATTTTAACGACGTATAGAGTCACCACAATTATGACCAACTTCTAGGAGCTTTAACGCTATATCCTACAAGCATTTAAGAGAGGTTCACGGGGTAGCGATAATTGTTAGTCCTTCCCCTGATTGGGTGAACTGTACAAACAGACAAGATCTAAAGCTCCCTACTGAATATTGATACGTAACACACCTAATGATCTGATAATCTTAACGAATAATTCAGCAAACATTTCGTCAAGTATTGATATATATTTCTCTCATATTCTCGAAACCCCCTCCTTACTCCCATCATTAGCCACATCAATCCAATATTCAGATGAGGATATTTCTTTTCCCAAGGACTTTTAGCGCTTCCCAAAGGAAAGTGTTCGATAGGCGACGCTACCTATATCCCCCTATGGAGGGAACCGAAAAGCTCTCAAGGGTCAGGGCTCATACCAGCAGAGAGCAAGAATCCAAGCAGGCCAAAATGCCCCGTGCCCTCTCCGAATCTGCGCGATCAAAAAAGCACAAAACTGTCGAGATTACCGAGAGAGTAGCACATATACAGCAATGGAGACGGGATAAGATCAAACTCCCCAGCCATCCCAGCAACCCCAGGAATTTCAAGGAGAAGGTAGGAGAACGCCTCGACCTTCTCCACGGTCGCGTTCCATCGCTGGATGCTGGTAAAGAGACAAGGGCAAGTACTAACAGTAGCGAGAAGGAACAACCAGGTTCTCTTCAAAGGAAAGCCAACACTGCAGACTGGCGGCCAAGGCTAAGGCTAACAGAAAAGGGCAAGGGGTTAGTAAGGAATTTATCGTGGTCGACCCTCAAGGAGAACGTTAGGCCAAAACAGAAAGATCCCCTCCACCAGTGGATGGTTGATCACTCTGGTGGCACGATTAAATAACACTAGATTTGAATAACATGCCTATTTCTATGCGAAACGGGTCAACCGATGTATAGTCTAGCTCATGATAGCTTCGGTTTATTAAAGCATAAGTGACTTTTTATAGTACCTTAGGAGATTGTTAGATCATAGGCACTAGTAATTAGTGTCGGCACGGTAACAAACCGCTACCGTACTCGCTCTAATCAATGTACACTGAATTAGACGCCTCTGGCGGTGGATAAGGCCTTAATTTCGGTTTATTAAAAGAGATGCCATAGCTAATTTGACCGGGTGGTTAATATAGCTGCTAGCTTCGTTGACCCTACTGGGTTGGTTGATAGCCCCGGGTGTTATCTCTAAGAAAATGAAGCGTGTAGAAAGGTTACAAGCTCCCCAAAGCCGACAGTAAAAATAGAAATTACAAGAAGAGAAGATAATAGGAAACAATATGACTGCTGATTTGTGCCGAAGAGGATGGAGTCCGCCCATTCAAAACAATAACTGGTGTATCGGGGATCAGCATAAGACCAGGTCGGTTACATCTCGAGTACATGAACACTGATAATCGGCGTACACAAGATTTAAGTCTCACTTGGGACATAAAGCCGTATCGAACATATATATTCGGGGTACCCGCCGTGTAGGTAATTGTCTCATTTATTTATACTCTTTCAGTCGCTACCGGATCTATGTCTCAAATAATAATTAGTTATCTCTCCTATCGCTAGATCCTGCATTCCGTTACTAGCAAAACCTGTGTCATGGGCTTGGCAACCTCCTATACAAACCGTAACAACACCTCTTGCTAATTTGACCTTGTCATAACTAGAACTAAGATACTAGTACATGACAAGCATGCTAGTGTTTAATTGGCTGTTTAGGTACCTAAGGTAACGACCCGAATCGAGCTCTAGAATGTTCTTAAAAATAGATGCTGGGTATATGAGTGAGTACCTGGTCTTCATTTACTTGCTAATATCAACAGATTTCTTAAGAGACCCAACTCTTACAGATATAGTAAGACAGTTTACTGCCATTGCTATGTAGATGACTTATCTACCTACCTTTTAAACTACCGGACTAACTACCTACCTAAACTATAGTTATAGCGTTACTAGAAAAGGTTACATCGTGTCCCGGCAAGGTATACACTAGTCAAAAGCACCTAATGCGTCCGCTCTAAGGGTACTATACTAACGATCTCTTACACTATCTACCTAGGTACCTAAGCCAGTGCTTTTTTCAGAATATTACACGTGCTTCAAGGCAAAAATGTAAACTAAAGACATCCATGTTTCAGAACAAGGGGTTACCGCTGTTCGGCCAAGTTTATATAAGTCTTCATAGTCGCCTAAAGTTAGTTCCAATTAACCGACTTGTGTCTTGGTCCAAGTATTTACCACCAATAGCAGCAGGGATATAAGACACGCTAGGATCTAAAAGTCTACATAGAACCTGCGTAGCCCTCCTGGCATCTAACTAGACCCTCGGCCCCGCACACACACACCATCGCGCAACCTCCGCCAACCTTATCGGCACGTTCTACCGTCTATCTATTACCTTCCGCTTTCAGTTGCAACCTATCTGCACGCCCAGCCGTGGAATGCTTCGGTGCTTGTCCCAGAAGAAGAAACTGTCGTGTCTTGGTCAAGCGTGGTTTGCGTAAGCTATAGGGACGGGTTAATGTTCTTCGGTGCATTGTGCCTTGCGAGGAAGGAGGATCGTCAGGTACCGAGCGCGGGAGAGGAGTTGAGATAAAGTGTATATATAGAGTAGATGGATATGTGATCGTCCATTCCATTCCATCTCATAGTCGATCCCCTTGATTCCGATCAACTCTTCAGACACCACTTGATTCCTTGCTCATAATTCTCAATAACCTAATCGGAATCATGAAATTCTTCGTCGGCAGCTTTGCCTTCCTGCCCCTCGCGGCTCTTCTCACGTCCGTCGCTGCCGCCCCCATTATCGAGGAGCGTGCCGAACTAGCTGCGACGACATGTGGTTCCACGTCCTATAGCGCGACGCAAGTAAACCAGGCCGCGCAAAAGGCATGCAGCTACTATAGCTCAGGGAGTGCACCTGGTGGCTACCCGCACACATACAACAACTACGAGGGCTTCTCGTTCTCAGTTTCCGGGCCGTACCTCGAGTTCCCGATCCTATCCAGCGGTAGTGTGTATACTGGCGGTTAGTTGTGATAGCCTTTCTCAAGTATGTGATGCGAGCTAATAGATGATAGGCTCCCCTGGACCGGATCGGGTTGTCATTAATACATCCTGCAAGCTAGCAGGTGAAATTACTCACACTGGAGCTAGCGGCAACAACTTCGTCGGTTGCTCGGGAACATCTTAAACTAATATACGTACAAGTTAGTCGAGTGCGATGGCTATGAGTATCAATGGTTCCCTGGGCCTCAACTGGTCTAAAAATGATATATACGCTGGCTGTAAATACACAATAAATGCAAGGTGTATATATAAATAAGCTACTGCTTTTGTATGTGACCTTCAAGATTCCAACCCTAGGTTTCAATGATATATACCTTCACTCGTTATATAATGCGAATTGACTTAGGAAAGTGGTTACTCGGGCGTTTAAAGACCGTAATAGAATCTATAGATTGGATGAACCTGCCAACGGAACGGGCTGATTATCAATTGAGGCTGTTGGGAGTGCTTCACCTGTCTCGGCCGGCTCGATGCTTTGCGTCAAGGTCTCCTGGCTGGGCACTTGTTCGGGCTCGTCTGGCTGCGCACTATAATAGACTGAAAAGTAGCTTTGACCGCCGCCTGTTCTAGAGTTAGCTTAATTATATATTTCGTGGATGGTCCCTAGTGCTCATACACATTTCCTGCGCATATCCCGAACAAGCTCTGTTGCAGAATGAATCTGGCACGGCCCTTTCAGAAGGAGGGACAGCTTGACCGCATAAACAACCGGTGCCGTTTGTCACAGCCATCACGGGCTGGTTATTGGATTCGCACCAATCCCCGCAGAAACCAACCGATTGAAATACGTAGGTGCGACTAAATTCTAGATTTGTCGGTGAGTCGAAACAGCCCACGTACTCGGGAGGTCCTCGAACAGCTGATGCGAACCCGAATAATGCCAGGGCGGCGGAGATTTGGTTCAGTTGGACTCTCATATTGACTGGCGGTGTAGTATGTTGAAGTGAAAGCTATTCTAAGGTGAGAGATATGTATCACAGTAGGTTAGATAGGTACCTCTATATGATTGTGAAGTAAGTGGCTGCCCAGACTACTTATGTTAGGTACCTCGCAGTAGGAATGACTGAATGGATGCAGGCGGATTCGAGTAATTTCGGTTGATATCCGGGCGTGAGTTGGGTTGATATTGACCAATCGAACGGACAGTCCTACATCGTAATTGTACAAGATTTGCGGCTCAACACAACTCACCTATCTAATACACCAGATGTTAGGGGAACTGACGTCGTGGGATTTGTGTTGTGTCATCGGATAAGTGCATGTAGTATATGACACCATGATGTTTCTAGAATGTTTCTTTAGTGGTCAGTTATGCAGTGCAACTCGACAACTAAAAGTAAAGTTTAATTATAAACGGTCGGTACGATACTGTATTACCGTAACTATGCTGCCGTACGGCTTAAAAATAGCATATTCACAATTGCTGTATTACATAAATAAGCAGATATCCACTTGCGCAATAGAGATTTATGATATTTATTCTCTTATGCTAGAATAATAAGCCTCAAGTTTCAATGGTGCATCTTTGTTTTATAAGCCTACCTACGGTACCCTAAACACCAGACCCACTCTTGCTGTCGTACCACCCACCTAGCCGGACGGGACGTAAGCCAAACGGCCAATAAGCGTTGCCCTAAAACCAATCACACTAATCAAGCTCCCCTGCTCTTTTCCTAAAGCAGACTAGAATGACGTCGTCCCGAGATATAGGACGAGCTCGAGAGCATTCGGTGAGCTTAGCCTTCTCTATTTCGACAGTTTCGACCCGCAGCCTTAAATAGATTCTTTCCCCCCTCTTCTCTAGCTTGTATTTTGGTCTCTATCGATTTCCTCAGACGAAAACAACACCATCTACACGAACTACAAGTCATCAACTCCAAGAACTTATACCAACAGCTTAACCCGCAATCATGGCCGAAGTATGCCCCGTCGTTGGAACCACAAACCACACTCTACCGCCCTCGCACCCGGATATCGACCTCTCTAAGCCAGGCCAGACATGCCCAGTCGTCGGTGCTAAGACAGAGCACCACACAAAACTGCACCAACACCCGTCCGTCCCCAGCGGCGAGATCTCCGCAACCACTCAGTCTGTCGGCTCGGCCGACGCCCAGGCCTGTCCCGCACTGAGAAGCGTTGTCAACGAGACCAAGAGCAAGGAGATGGGTATGTATCCCTCCTAATACACTCTTTAAACCCCTACTTCCTCCTCTCGCAATAGCTTGCTAACCCCAACGCAGACGACCGCGTATGTCCCGTCGTCGGACCCGTAACCACAGTCCTACCTCCGGACCACCCTAGTACAGCTAATAAGGCCGACGGAGACGTGTGTCCAGTGACGAAAGCCAAGGTCGGCCACCACAAGGACAAGGTTGTCGTCCATCCCCAGGTTGAAGGATCCTCGGGTGTCTGCCCCGTGACGGGAGCGAAACAGACGTGAACCCTGAGAGATTGATGGATGGATCTGTACTATCTAGTCTCGATACGGCGTTTTTTGGTTAGGATAATAGGAATACGGTCTTCTTGTACGCTATGTGTTTACCGACGATAGGCTGTCTTACTGGTTACGCCGACTGTAACATGACTGTAACGTGTGATGAGCTATTCCTGTATGAGTATAAAATAAGTGAACAGGCAAAGTATATATTCCGTATAAGGTTATAAGTTTGTCTCATAACTCATTCCGTGGTCATGTTTTCGTAGTGAGCGACGCTTAAAGGGAAGTGTCCGAGTGCGTTCACTTCATCAGGACAAAGAGTATAATTGTGGATGTTGTAGATTGTTAGAGAGCATTAGATTTCATATAAACTACCGCTGTTATTTCCTAAGCTAGTGTAAGTAATACGCTGACGCTATGAGAGAATGTATATCCTTCATGTGAAATACGCTGGACACCTCGTTCAAAACGCATTGCCACTTACACAATCCTATCAGGACAAGCGCAGAGCTCCCTATATGATCTATTGCCTGCCTGCCTACCTGAGGAGGAGGAGGAGCAACATCAGCAGCAGATACCACCAATTCCGATATTCAACTCTGATGTTTGTCTCCCGAATTATCAAGCCCGTACGAACATATGGCTTTCCCACTTCAAAGTCCTGGCGATACGCCGACCATAATGTTTGATCATCGTATACTCCATTTTGCCTCCCGTGTACGGTTCGTGGAATATCATATAGCTGAACTCATTGTCCAGGCTTATTATGGGTTTGAAGAGCCAGGCTGATCCGAACAACTTCTCCGCCGTAAAATTCATAGCCAACATAGCATGAACAAAGTCATCCCAGGAAACCTCTCCTAGATTGGAATGATCGGGTCCATCGAATAATAAGGTATCAAACACCTCAAAAGTTCGGCTGTCGACTTTAAATGGAGGATATCTCCCGTGCTCTGCTGTGGAACCATTCATCTCTGCATTTACGCTCTCTTTTGTCGTGCTTGCAGGCTTCTCTGCTTCTGAATTTTCTTGGTGGATAAATTCATCGGATGGCTGATTGGTACTCTTACTCCCCATATTCTTCTTTTTCGCCTTAGTCCGCTCTATCTGTGGCTCTGCCCACGGCTCAGTCCTCTGTAGCTTGCGAGAAAATACTGAAGTTACGCACACCTCTAGTACACGCGATCTCTGCAACTGGTCGAGCGCTTTGATCCAAAATTGATCGAAGCTTGCTTCTGTTTTGCGTAGTTTCTTAACTACCTCCCTACTGCGAGGTTCACGTATTGGGTATTTTGATTCCCCTATGAGAATATCCCGCATGGTTCCGGTCGTATTGTACCAGAATGAATTAGGTATATTATACACCTTGAATGCAACCTCAAATTTACTCTGGTAAAAGTTCTCAACCTCACCTGGATATTTTCTGCAGTATTGCGAGAAGCCCTGGAACCGGTACTGGTATTGCTCAAGTACGTGTCTGCATTCGCATAAAACACCCAGGATCGAAATTTGAGCACCCTGCCAGCTACTCACGAAAAACTTCGCTGTAGGATGACGCTGGATGAGTAATTCTAACTCAATTAGAGTTGCTCTGAGGCCGATTGCTGGTGTACGAAAACATTTCGTGTTAGCTTTTCAATACTACAATTCTAGAATTTTCACCGTATTTTTCGATTGGGTCGAAATGATAGGGCCATCATACTTACTACTGATCGTTAGCTACTGTATACCTTACGAGGGCGGTTTCGAGAATAACAACACGGGATGTTTTCATACATACCGGCGTCGGTCTTTTAAGCCGGCTATGACTTCAAGGAAGTACACGGTGTCGGTGAGAATTTCGGGCATATTGACCAAAGGTCGACGTCGAACTAGAGGGGGACGTTGGCATTTCGGGTCTTTGGGCTCGAAATAGAAATATTCTCTCAGCGCAGGCGAGCCATAAATACTGCTCGCTAATAGCACGCGGTCTGTCATTTTTTCGCAGACAACGACTAGGCTGTGGTAAAGTCCATACAACGTCTTACATACGGGTAGCGGCAAAGCCGCTGTTTGAGAAGGATCTTCTTTCCACTCCTCGAGAAGGGAGTGTAGGTAATAGAACGAATCATATGCAGCCTTTAAGACACCGGAGATTAGGAAGGCATTGGAGAAAACTTGGCGAATAAATTCTTCGTGATAGAAATCCTTGTTCTGGAGATAAACAGGATGCCCCGGATCATTGATGTCGCGCAAGTGTCCAGCGTAATTTTCTTCCCTTTGATTTAGAACCATCCTAAAATAATCGGGATCCTCCCTCATAGACATGAGGTGATCTTCGGCAGCAAATAGCATGGACCCAACAAGAGATTTTATACGACTGAATTCGACATGGCAGGGTCGTTTATACAGGTCCTCAAACGAGTCGATAGCAGAGAAACGAAGCCTTGGCGAATTGCTCTTCGGCATAACTACCGTGGGAGAGCGAAGGATGGGCTGGTCGGCCTGCGTCAAATCTTCAGTTGGAATATCGTGGAGAATTGCTTCACAACATCTAATAAGAAATTGATACAGATGATCTTGAGCCGCCAAGATTCGGAAGCCGTTATCTGGGGTAACAGCCCCCCAATTCGAGCCTTCGTCGAATCTAACATCGTCGTCGGTGTCAAAATGGAGCTGGCCGTATGTATCTAACGAAGGAGGTTCTCTAAACGACATGGAGTAACCCGGAAGCTCTACCATATTGTAATATGGAGTATGGTACCCAAAAGATACCGACTCAAAATCAGGTTTAGTAAAGTCGCTAGGTGAATACCTTCCTCGAGAATTGAGAATCAGTAAAAGCGGCTCTGTCCTGCATAGATCCTCGAGGTTTATATATGGCCACATGAACGGACTAATGCCCCATTCTTCAATTGGAACAAGTTCCCTATAAACGGCAATATCAGGGCGATGCAATGATGGCATATTTGGCCAAACGCTAAGCAAGAGTTTCTTTCGTTTGACTTTCGATTTCTGGATCCAGCGATTCCGGATTGTATCTTCATGATATTGAACGATCATATTCAACGTCTCCTAGTTGTTGAAAATATTCTTGGCTATCGCTCGAGAGTATTTTCGGGCTTTCTCTGGTGTAAGACAAATTTGTGGCAGTGAAGGTTGAGATACGCTAGGCGTATCTCCCGATTGGCTAGAACATGAAGTTACCATATTAACGCGCGTTGTAGTATAAATACTATAGGATGATAAATAGAATGGATATAGAAATCCGAGTTGATATAAAAGTAGTGCATTTTGTATAGATGAGAGTCCCGAACCGAGTCCCGAACCGAGAGAAAAGAAAGATTACGATGCGTCCTTCCTAGGTTAAGACTTTCTTTCTTTCCTTCCTCAATACTCAAATTCAATTGCCCGATGGCTCTAATGCAGGTACCTAGGTTAGGTACATGATGTAGGTAATAGCGCAGTTCCAAAGTTTTTACGAGCAGAAGTACACCTAAGTACCTAGGTACCTATATACAAGTTACTAGGATTTTCAATGTTATTTAGTGGAGGTATTACTTGAAGCAGTTAATAAGTATTATATTAATCTATTTGTATGGCAAAGTACAAAGCTTTTAGAAGATTCTGGCTTAATCTTTACTTAAACCGGTAATTTTAGATAATAAAAGTCTTCCCGAAAACACGAGATGCGTATCTTGCCATAATATTTCGAGTGTCCTAATACATCGCTCTTTTAAGTAACATCTCCACCAAATAACATTGAACATCCTAGCGACTTGTACCTGCCTCAAATGGGTGTCCACTAGAACCTTGGAAGTCTGGGGTTGATGCACACTCCAGCCACCAACTTATTCCAACCGGACCCCTACTGCCCTAGAACTCCCCTATCAAACCCCTCACAATCCCATCTCCCACCCAGCCTTGTCTACTTCCCAACCATCCGAATATTGTCAATTAATATGTATAATAATAAAAGGCGACGCTTGCCATGGTAGGTTTAAATTCTCTTTTTCATCTTGCAGATCATTCCCTTCCACTAAGCTGTAAGGCGCAAAAACTCGCGGCCCTCAACCAGTACAAGCAAAACCCCCTTGAGGTGTTGTCCAAGATGCATCCAAACCTGTCGATCTCCTTTCTCTTTATCCTATCCGTGTTTGATTCATCTACAGCATTGCCTTTTATTATACAGAGAAGGCAACCAACCCAGTCATTGGTCGCTCGCGCTACATATTCTGTAGTCCCGATTGACGGGAATGGTTCAGGTTCAGGTTCAGGTTCAACAACTCCTGGCACAATTGAGACAATTGTTGTAACTCCTACCCCGAGTACGAGAACAATTGTCCAAACTTCTCCACCAGTTACCAACACGATAGTGATTACCGCAAGTCCCGCGACCCAGACTGTTGCTACTACAGTCTCTATTATAGACATTCAACCCACAACCAACGTTGTAACCACCACCGTGACTGAAGACGACCATGCACCAACTTCAACTTCAACTTCGGTGTATCCAAGCACAAAATCTACTACAACAACATCATCGTCTATATCTACTATCTCGTCAACCACACTCCCGACGCCGTCAAGTACGGTAGTCACGTCAGCTCTGCCAACGACTTTCGCCAGCACCTCTTCCCCAACGGCATGGACGACATCCATACCAGTGTCCAGTTGGGTGTGGAGCTCAAGTGCTTCTCCTGATGATGGTTCGTGGCACACATCTTACCCTCCTTGGAATGGGACTGTGAGCCGTCGATTTGCTCGTGAGCAATGAGATAGCAATAGCCATTTTCTACCGTTGAGGCTTCTCTATCTACTTTTTACTATAGGAATGAAATGTATGAGAGCGGGATATGGTATTAATGGAGTATTTCGGCGGGGCAGGCCATGGCATGAAATACATGGACTAATGTAATAAATGGATAATTGGGATGCTTGGTCTGGTTGCGGACCGAGTAATGAACCATACGCAAACCAAGCGCTGGGACGCGTCAAATTTACTAAGTATCTTGACTAGAGAGATAAATATGAAAATATATTCTTATTTATCGTTGTCCTAATTCTTATTTTTGAGCGTAACGCTGTTCATTCCTATGGGGAACATCTAAGTTAAGGCATCTAATATTACCTGAAGTCGAAATCATATTATCTAACTTCAGTATGATTCTGGGATAATACATTAGATCATATTCCAGTTCCAGGTCATAGATACCTCACTTCGATACAAAGAAAACTGTTTCCTAAACAGGTAATAAGGCTAGCAGTGTGGCCAATCACCTCACAACCCCCTCCTATTGACAAAGGCTGGGACTAATTATTGATATTATTTTCAATATTGTGTAGCTACGCAATCGCTCAAGTCTATATTCCGTGTTTTCCCCTAAATATTATCAAGCTGTGATACTGCAACTAGATGCAGTTGCCTCGAGGCTTAAGTAGGGAATTATGAGTACCTATGATAGAGTGGCAAAGTCGTCTGAACGTACCTATGAACACAAAAAGGTAACTGAGAAATCGAGTCGAGGGTCCACATAATATCTATGCTCTACAATTACTAACAGCATACCTCTACGCTATATAGTATATACTAACCTAGCTGGATTAAATCTTCCCTTCCTTCAGTTTGAAGACTGCACTGCCATTCATCGGCCGACTGACGACAATTGCTCCCTCTAGGTCCTTTTCACTTAAGTTCCGCTTAGAGTAATATTTATCGAGCAACGCCTTCTTGATATCGTCAATCTTATTGGCGGGCACCAAATGGACGCTGCATCCACCCCAACCGGCACCAGTCAGCCGGCTACCGTAGCTCCCGGCCTCACGCGCAATCTTGCACAACTCGTCTATCTCGGGACAACTACACTCATAAACATCTCGGCACGAGTCTTGAGTTTCGTTCAGTAGTTTTCCGAGCTTAGCATTGTACTCGACTGTGTGCTCAGAGTCGGGGGCCTGTGCCGGATCTTCTAGAAGGGATAGGAACTGGAGAACACGCCGAGCCTCGGTAAATACGTGCAGCGCGCGCTGACGGAGCTTGAAGTATTCACCCCGTACGGGGAAGCTGGACATAAACCGAGCTTTTACATCATCAACCGAGATACCGATACCCGAAGCAACTTCTTCCACAGTGTATCCTTGCTCCTGGGTAAGCGTGGACTTGGTGAGCTCAATCAATTCGGTAAGTTGTTCCGGCATCGACTTGGTGGTATCCTTGAAGTAATTTTGGTGGAATCCGCGTATGGATACACCTAGTGGGCCAGCATCTTTAGGAAGTTCAGTTCCCTTAGGGCACAACTTGGCATTTAGATATGCTGCTGCCATGCTGCACTCGACGACCCTGAGGTTATAGTGAATTGGGCCGGTTTCCTGTTTATTTGAAGTGACGAATGACTGCGCGACCATAAAACACAGTTCAGGGTTCGTTTTAGGAAAGTAGACCGGCCGCGCCGAGAGGGACGGAGTGAAAGAAACCAAGAGAGCCGATCCTCGTTCGGAGAATACTGAAGCGGACTGGTCCATTCTGCAAGACATTAATACTAACCACGCAATTAACCAGACAGACTCACCCTCCAGAGTTGACACCCACAGCCCGCTCACTGACGATAGCAACCTCGGTCAGAGCTTTCTTGTCGACATCACGTTCGCCGTTGGCAATCATAACAGCCAATGCGCTGGCGCTTACAAAGGCAGCGCTGGAACTGAGACCACCACCAGCAGGCACTGTCCCGTCCATCAACACTTGCATACTCTTGGGTTTAAAATCGTCTCCATATTTCTTCCTTAGCAATTGTAACGCCCCCCTCAACCCAGACTTGAAGTAATTGGTCCATTCATGTCTCGTTGCGTCGATATCGACCTCGCTGTAAGACACATCGAACTCGCGAGTTGGGAATCGCTCGTTGTCGACATTAGCTATCTTGATCTTGTAGCTGCCTTCTTGTGAGGGCTCTAGATCGGTGGATACGGCGAGGATGACATCGGGAGTCATTCCCATGGGCAATACCGAGTAAAGAGAGTAGTCGATATGCTCGCCGATGATATTCACGCGACCAGGCGATCGCGAGACGAATTGGGCGGGGGCGCCATAGAGGGCCTGAAACTTGTCAAGCAGCTTGTTCCACCTCACAGTTTGTTCATTTAGAGCCTGTTGGGTGTATATGTCCTGCAATGCAGTGACCGTAGGTACAGGGCCCGACATATTGTTGAGTTGCGATTATGATTATGTACCTGGTAGAGGTAGGTATGTAGGTAGGTATTCTCAGATAAGTCGCGGGGAAATAGAAAGCGAAAGGGAAAATAGCTGCGTGTAAGTGTCGATGCCCCGCTTCGAGCTTTAAGGGATGGATGTTTGCCTTATACTTCGTACTTGTTTCTTTGTTAATTGAGTTTTATCGTTAGCAATTTTTGGCTTTGCTTAAACTACCAAAGTAATGATCGAGATTAAATATATATATTTTTATAGTATTTACAAGAAGAGAATGACGAGGGATTAGAAGATGCAATGAAATATATAGTTGTAGGACAAACAGGTAAAGATACATGTCACAAGATCGCAAAAATGTTTATATTTCCCATGATTATCGTGAGGTACCTGCCCACCTTAGCTAAGATTTAGAATACCCCGCGGACAGCCGCGCCGAGCAATTGGCCGGCCACCGTCAATTAGGACCCGACCAAGCGATATTTCCTTGATGAAATTCCCACCATAACCCCGCTTCCCCACGTCTTTCGTCACTGGCAATCAACAATATTTTAGATAAATATTTCACTACCTAGGTAGGGCAGCCCTCCCTCCTATTCTTAATTCGCATTCGCCCACTTAGGTATCACCACATTTTCAAGCGAGAGCGAAATTCCATGCAATAATCTCACACGATGAGATGGCAGTTGGGTACCTAGGTAAATTACCGGGATTCCCCTAGCTCAAGTCGCCCAGTCGTCTGGGTGGAATGCCATGAGATCATACCACTGGAAGATAGAACCAATCAAAAATGTCCATGAACCAACAAAATTAGCAATTGTTGAAGTATTTATATCCTCCATAAAAAGGGCAAAGCCGGTAAGTGCAAAGCCGATGGAGCCAACAGAACTCCAAAATGCTGCCTGCCAGGAAGCCGAGACCGAAAGGACCAGACTGGAAGGAAACGGTCCGTAGGGCTCCTACTGCTTTCAAATCCGCAATTGCGGGTATCCATAACCACGCGCTGCTGCCAAGCAAGGCCGGCTTATATGTCTTGGTACTACCATCCTCAGTCCTCAGTCTTAATTTGACGGGCTCAAAGATGCCTTTATCAGCATCCCACCCCGTTACCAAGGTTAGAGCGCCGCCGGGGACGAAAAAGAGGACTCTGAAAAGCGTTGTAATTGGTATGGTCTAGCTCTATCTCGCCAGGAAATATGGTCAACGAGAAGAAGACAGAGATGGATTCTCGGTTAACCTCCTCTTTTATCTGCCGGCAGTATGAGTTATAATCGACGTAGTTGATCGGTACGAGAGTACTACGCCATCGGAGAGCTTTGACGTCGCCGGCCATCGTATCGCGCTTCGATTGAGGAGGCAGGCCGAGTAGGCCATTGGGCCCGTAGAAGGAAGCCCGGAGCGATGCCGAGACATTCATTGTAAGCCAACCAACATCTTTAGAAACACTCGCCTTGACTCTTGTTGCTATTCGAGGATACGCTCTTTGGAATGCAAAACGAAACTCTAAAACGACATTATCTTGATCGTCGGACGACACATCGGGATGTCATATATCCTAGATAATACCAGCGCCGTAAGTTCTAGTTCTATTAAGGAGTTTTTCAATAATATCTCACCCTTTCGAGGACGTTATACGTGAGGTACTGATGCCGGTGAGTCACTGCCGGCCAACTTATCTACCAATTATGTACTATATACTATATTTGGTTACTAGATATGTTGCTTGGGGTCCTAATTAGACATGATCAGCTACCAGGTTTGAAGTGTAAGTCGAAGTCAGGGTCGCATCTAGATTCTGTCCGCTAATACTTGCTCCGATAGGACCCTGGTCCTAAGACTACATACACGTCGTAGCTAGAGCAGTTTTCCATTGCTAGTGACGTGCTTTATTCGGGATGGGGTTGGCCATTCAAGATCGAGGGAAAACTTTGGACGCACGTCTTGAATCTTGGTTTCCTCTTCGGTGATCACGCAATATAGTCACAATCCACCACTCACAACCGGTCAACTTCCCAGTCCCAAATTCCACAGATACTATCTGCTTTCATAAATGCACTTAAATACAACACTTCATCATGAATACCATGGCTGTAACTCTACTACCACGAAGTAATCTTCCTGTATTGGAGGCCGGGAGACATCCTAAATCCGATCGCTGTTCTTGCGATATATCCCACCCGAAGGACGACTAAGCCATCAAAATGGCTACTGATATAGAGTCAGCGGCCGCCACAGCCCCAGAAATCCCCTCGGGCAACAAGGATGCATCATCCTCATCCTCTCATGGTGGTCCTATCGATACCGAGAAGCTTGGAAGGAGTAGACCTTCAATCTTTGCTAATGGCTGGGTTGAAGCAGGATTCTGTATATCCGTTCTCGGTTCGGTGATGATGGGGGAGTTCCTCATCAGTGGATTTAGCGTGTTGCTTCCCGTACTCATCGAAGACACAGGTATCGACCCTAGCCAGAGGACCTGGCCCATCACCGTCTTCTCCCTCGTCACCGGCTCATTGTTACTACCCTTTGGCCGGCTTGTCGATATGTTCGGCGGCTACCCTATCTACCTCGGGGGGCTATCATGGCTAACCCTGTGGGCGATGGTTGGAGGATTTAGTCGTACCTTGCCGATGGTTTTAGCGAGTCGGGCTCTCCAAGGAGTGGGAGCAGCTGCCTTCCTACCTGCTGGTACGACGTTGTTAGGAACCACTTACCGTCCCGGTCCACGAAAGAACACTATATTCAGCTTATATGGGGGTTGCGCGCCTTTGGGTTTCTTCTCTGGTATCATTGTTGCAGGTCTCACCGGCGAGTTCCTTTACTGGGGTTGGTTTTTTTGGATTGCATCTATGCTACTGGCTTTCTTATGCTTGATGACCTTTTTCTGCGTTCCTCCCGAGTGGAAGCGTGGCGACTGGTCCTTGATGGATTGGTGGGGTTGTCTTACTAGTATTTGCAGCTTGAGTCTACTTACATACGCTATCACCGATGCTTCCCACGTTGAAGGCCGCTGGGCTTCCCCTCAGATCATTGTTACATTTATACTTGGGCTTATAGCCCTTGCGGCTTTTATCTATGTGGAAGGATGGGTTTCCGATTATCCTCTACTGCCTTTGGACCTATTCTCTATCAAGCACATCGGACCAATCTTCCTCGTCCTCTTCATGGCGTGTGGCTGCTTTGGCATATACCTCTTCTACGCAAGTTTTTAGTAAGTCCTTACCCCATTTGCAATCCAAGAAGTCACAAACCCAATATACTAACTTTTGCCAGTATACAGACTGTCCTCGGAGTCCCACCGTTACTCGCCGCACTTTGGTTCTCTCCTATGGCTGCCGGTGGAATCATCATCGCTCTCATAGGTGGGTTAACACTCCATCGCTTCCCTGGAACTATACTCCTCCTACTGGCCGGGACAGGTTTCGTAATATGTTCTCTCCTGTTCGCCCTTATTCCCGAAAATCCCAATTATTGGCGATGGGTCTTCCCGGCAATGGTGTGTACGACAATAGGTATTGATATTAGCTTCAACGTGAGCAGTATCTTCATTACTACCAATGTCCCCAAACATCAGCAAGGCTTAGCAGGAGCATGCATCAATGGTTTGGTATACCTAGGCATTAGTTTCTTTCTCGGCTGGGCGGACTTTGCTGTCATTAGTAGATCGAGCGGCGGGCTTGGAGAGAGTTATAAGGTGGCTTTCTGGTTCGCTGTCGGATGTGGAGCTGGAGTCATCTTGCTAGTCTTGGGCTTCATCAGGATTGGTAAAGCCAAAAGTGACTTTACAGTAGATGAGAAAGCACAGCAAAGAGAAACAGGCCGCGAAAGTGAGCAGGCTAGGCAAGAGACGGGCATTATGACTTGAGAAGTTGAAGTCTACCTGGATATCTTGGAATCACGACCGTGGGACAATTAGAAACAATGTATAATCTTGAAGTATGTAAAATATTAATCGCCTACGTTCGCAATTTCGAGGGAGACACAGGTTCACAAGTGAGGGCCGAAGCGGCCCTCCAGACTTGGTTCGAAGAGACATTTGCGATGCGAGTCACCTCCATTTTCAAGACCAGGTGTAGAATTAACAGGTAGTTACCTATTACTAGATTTTACTAACTAAATACTATTGAATCCTTAAACTAACATATATCTAAAACATTAACTAAGTTGCAAATCGTCATGATCTATAGGTATCTATCCCATCCGGAGGAGCGCGCTGTTTACCCGTCTATTTTTCAACGCTGACGCCATTCTGCTTCTTTGCGAGCTCACGCTCATGTTTCTCCTTTCGCCACTTGATCCCATATTTAAGGATAAAAAACAGCATCGGCGAGAAAGCTATGTATATAAGGCCCAATATCGTAAACGCCCATCCAATACCAACACCGTTTATCATAGGCCCTATCACCGCAGTCGCTGCAGCGCCAATTAGACATCTAGTTAAGTTATTACTCGCGGTAGCAGCTCCTGCACTACCCACGTTCACGTCGACAAGCAGTACGTTGAGCGTGTTGCTGAATCCGACTACAGCCCAGCCCAACAAGAATAGCAGGACACATGGCACGGCCACGTGTGCATGATATTCGAATGCCCAACCCCAGGCGATTACACATGCTATGCACAGGGCAAGCATTGGAATACCGATTTCGAGCCTGGCACGCTCAATCGGGAATTCGGATAGGTCTTGCTGCTTGCTACGTTCGAATGGAACGCCCTGTAGCTTACAGTGCCGCCGGTAGTTCCAGTTCATCAGTCTCCCGTTCACGACAGCGGCAGCTATACTACCGCCGACCATAGGGAGGTACATAAGTCCCACCTTGATCTCATCAAAGCCATAGTTAGCAGCTAGTTGCGTGGGCATAACGGTAGCGACGCAGTAGAATCCCGTGAAAACAATACCACCGTACCCGAGCAGGAGAAACATTTCCTTCTCGAGAAGAATCGTGATTGATTTCCAGACATTGAATTTCTTCATGTGGAGGCTATGTTTCGTCGATACGCGCGATGGTGTGTGAGCCAGTGGAGCGCCACTGGACTGTTGATTGCGGTGCTCACGGCGTCGCCGCAAGGCATCTTTACACAGTTGCCAGAACGTTCGGTAGGCGGGATGCGGACGGATCGACCCATCTCCCACGATCTCCCGACAGGTCTCAGGCAAGAAAAACGCGTGGATGATAAAAACCACCGCGGCTAAGATGGCGAGGATCCAGAAAATAAAACGCCAGCCAACTTCCTGCGACAATACGCCACCAATCACAGGTCCTATGGCCGGCGCTAGGAGAATGGGCAGAGAGGTGTACGCGACATAGTGGCCCCTTTCGGCCGAGGTAATAATGTCGGCGACAACCGCTTGACAGAGCGCCACGGTCGTACTGGAACCGGCAGATTGCAGCATGCGGAGGACTAGCAGGGCCGGGTAACTAGGCGCTAGGGCACATCCAATATTAGCACAAATATATATGACGAAGCATATAAAGTAAGCCGGCCGGCGCCCCGCGGAGTCCGCCAGGGACCCGACGAACATCGGGGTAATCCCTTGGAAAATCTGCACATGAATAGGTAGTTAGCGATCACGGTCCGGGATATGATCTTCTCTAACGAGTCATGTTAAATAACACCCTTTCTCCGATTTTCAACGTACCATGTAAGTAGTGACAGTCAAGTTAATCTGACTAGCCGTAACGTGGAACTCCTGAGCTAGGACGGTGAGTGCAGGCAGGTAAATCTGCGCCGTGAGAGGCGAGAAGAAGGCCCCGATGGCAGCGCCAAGAACGATGCCCCTTTTCTCCCATTCTGTAAACGCCGAGTAGTTTGGCCGCTGGTCGGCGACGGGCTGCTCACTCGGGGGCTCGGCTAACAGGCCGCCGGGATTACCCTCTTCCTTATCCTTCCCAAGCGGATTTGACTTGGTGTCGAGGCCATCTTCTACGCTCTTTTCCGCCGCGGCGGCTTTGATCTCGTTGTCGCTGTGGCTGGTGCGAGATGAGGTTTCCGACATGACGATGTGGGGACCCGGTAAGCCGACTTTTAGCTCGTGAAGATGCCAAGAACAGCTCTATCCATTTTGCACCGGGTCCCCGTTGCTTAAATATCTCTCAGTTCCGAGAGGAACGTTGGGCATTTTGAGCGGTCTATACGACTTTGCTAGCCGTTCTCGCTTTGCAAGATTTCCAATTGCGGCTAGTGATTTTCGGCTCGAGGGCCATTCCGCCTAGTTTAAGTGGGGTTTCGGAGCCGACAGCGGGTTTATGACCCCGGTGCAACGTGGGATATGCCGGTTTAGGGGCTTTGCTCAACAACTTTACAAATTACAGATGCTAAAATAGTTAACATTACCACCTTATGCTAAGTTCATAGATGCTGTGACTCACTTAGTCGGGTCTTGTGGCCGCATTTGCAGTTGTGAAACATCCAGGCAAGCCAACTACTTGATGCCTATATTGCCTAGCACTACGAAAAGCGAAAGAATTCGATGAGGCTGACCGCTTCATTATCCGATAGCGGTTATATATTCGATAGGGGCTACGAGTCAAAATTATTATCCCCTATCCACACCGTAATGTGAGTCACGGAGGCTGGTTATCTGATCACGACTTACATGCCCATTGGACGCTTTGGAAATACATAGAAGTTCGCGACTTACGCGTACAATATACGTGTCTACCTTTCTCAATTGTTACCGGATAGCTGTTTAGGAGTGTCTACGTAGACTGGAACTATGTGACATAGCTTTCATAGAGTTGGTAATTGGTATGATCAGAAACGAAGAGCATAATTCTAAAATCTCTAGACCGCTGAAGATATAATAAAATACTCGTAGTGTTAGGATTCTAGATGAGACATCTAGAACAAAGGATACTTTTAGTATGTATAGTTAACCGTAGGCTCCTATAGTTACCTTAGCTTAGAGTTCCTCGCGGAATAACGAAGTTGTTTCCATGCTTCTTACTTCACCTCGTGATACGCAGCCATATTCTTCCAAACAAGTTTCTCAGTATTTCATGTGTAACCAGTGGCTCGTACTTGATCTAATTGGTTAATCATATCTCTAGTCTAGTTTCAGTTGTTTTGAATACTAGGTGTCCACCATATACAACAATGATAAACCATATGTCCATCTTTTCCTTCAGAAATGTCGTTACATTTATTTCTATTGAATACATGCGATAAGTATAACACGTAAAAATCCAAGATATAGGATTTGTTCTCGAAAGAAATTATTGGGAGCGGCGAAAAAAAAGCTCCTTTCATTTTTGCGTAGCTAGCCCTACATGTAATGAAAAATGAAAAAGAAAAGAAATTTTCGATGCTAGCTAGTATTGGAAATGTAGTGTAAAAGAGTTCAAGAAGCATTCCTATTTATGCACGTGCATGTTCTATTTCTAGCAAGTAAATTTTATTACTTGTTGTGGTATGATGTTACGAAAGGCTGCCTAGTTCCAAGGTTGCTGGGGAGGAAGAAGAAAAGGGGTTGCGGATCGAACGTTGGTTGCATAGGGCAAAAAATAATTGAAGCAAAAGGAAAAAAGGAAAATCAAAGTTGCTACGCATGGATTCGAACCGATGACCTTCAGTGTTAGAAAATGCGTGGTCACATGCAGACCAAAACAGCAAAAAGAGAAATCGTCCTCTAGGCCCAGCCTTGGAACTATAGTGCCCGTAGCTACTGCGCCCCATTACCCTCTACAACTGGCATCATACATGTGCTCTATATGGTGGATGGCCTAGAGTTCATGTCCGCGAGACGGGTAATCTGGTATTTGGTTTGCGACTCCTTTTCAGGAATGGATCTCTAAGCTTCCCAGCAATCATCGAGACCTTGTCGTGTCTGGGCAGTGACCAGATGAGCCAAACGCTCTTGAATCAACGGTATGCCAACTGTAATTGCTACTGCTGTTATTGGGGCTTATCTACTTAACTTCGGTTGCCAGTGATTTACAGTTGTACCTTTGTATGTACTTAGGTACGCCCGGCGACGACGAGGTGCACGACCCTCAGGTACGTAACTACCTCCTACGCAAACCCAAGAATAAACTACAGCGGTCTAAGTCTAAACAGCCATACTAGAAGTTCAGTAGCGGAAACCAAATTATCTACTTCAACCCTATCCAAACATTTCGTTACTCTAATTTTCTTCCCCCTTTTTCCACAGAAAAGCCTACTAGGGTCACTACGTCTTCTTTCAAGACCTAATTTAAATCAACACAGCTGACAGCAGTAGTAATGTGCACTCGTTACTAGTAGTTCAATAAATTAGATACCTACGACATACCAAGCTTACGTTGCAAACCCAAATTACCTCTCGGTATATAACGTTCAACATAGAGTTGTTGATTTATGCTTATTTTTAACCTTAGATATACTCACCCCTACACTGAGACACATCTTTACTTAGGCTGGATGAGTCAATAATCCGGTATGTGACAACGTTTTGAGGGTTCTGCCTATGATCTAAGAGTTCATGAAGCCTATTAACCTAAAATAATTGTCGGCCAACCACAACTTTCCTAGCATACAGAATATACCAATATAACTAGGTTATATATTGTTATAGGTGGCAGCATTATCATTCGCGTAATTTCAAGCGGTTGTATGTAAATGTCTGAAAGTGATGGCTAATGCTTATCAGGGGTATGATAGAGTATCATTGTCCTGGATAACCTCGAAAATCGAACTCATAATGCAGAATATATACATATACAAAGAAGGTCACGCATGCACCGATAGCAACGCCGACTATTTGCCAGGCCTTTTCTAACATGGATGCTAGATGCGAGGCTAAAAAAATCACTTTTCGGTTCCTTTTTGTCACCAAACTCGGCCTTTTCACGGTGGATTCAAACCTTTCTTAACTGCCTCCCTCCCTCCCTCCATGATGGTCCCAAATAAAACATAATCGCTAACTACCGATGCAATAAATTCCAGGTAAAACATATAATTAGGTATGTAATCCGCAAGTTCGGGTGCGCATAAGCTCTCTGCGTTTCTTATCCTTTTCTGTTTTACTTGTTAATTGACCGCTTGTGGATGGGATATAGGGGAGACGATATACTTACCACTATCAAATGATAAAAATTCGTGTAAACCTGATCCCGCAGGTACCATGGGGAGTACAGGTACCTTCTTATCTGTCATGACCTCTAAGAAGGCCGGGCCATCGGTGTTGATGAGCCATTCTAGGCATTCCACTGTGTCTTCAGGTTTGATGAGTCTTCGGTGCTGGACTCCCATAGCGTCGGCTAGCTTCATGAAGTCGGGGTTCTTCTGATGTGTGTGGGCGTATCGGTCCTCATAGAAAAGGTTTTGCCATTGGGTCACCATACCCTGCTCCTCATTATTCAGGACGATAACCTTAACGCCGATGTTGAATTGCGCAGCAGTTGACAGTTCTGTTAGGGTCATGTTAAACGAAGCGTCACCATCGATATCAATAACAAGGGCATCGGGTCGAGCGACTTTAGCACCGATGGCAGCGGGAAGTCCGTATCCCATAGTGCCGAGGCCTCCGGACGTAATCATGGTCCGAGGGTGTCTCCACCTGAAATGCTGCGCCGCCCACATTTGATGCTGGCCAACACCTGTCGTGAGAATCGTGTGCTCCTTTCGGTTGGCCGTCAGCTTGCTAAGTTCTTCGATTAGAATCTGTGGCTTGATCATTCCCGCTCGCTCGGTTCGCTCAAAGTCGTTCATAGGCCATTTTGCCTTCCACGAATTAATCTGACTGAACCATTCCTTACGGTCCGACATACTCTTTGTGTTGACCAAGGGAAGAAGCTGTCGGATATTCTCTGCTACGTCGCCCTCAATAGCTTCGGTTGCTTGTACAACCTTGTTAATGTTCTTTGGCATGACCTCGAACTGCACAATACCACCACGACCCTCGGCAGCAGCAGCCTTGGCCGCAGGCGCGAATTTAGTGACATTCATGGTCACACGGTCATCAAAGCGGGCGCCGAGAGCAATGATAAGATCGGCACTTTGTATCGACATGTTAGCGAACGCCGAGCCGTGCATGCCTAGCATGTAGAGCGATTTCTCATCCAGCTCGTCAAAAGCACCGAGACCGAGGAGGGTCGTGGTAACAGGTATCGAAGCCTTATCAGCGAGTTCTTTGAGGATCTCTGGTCCACCAATCGATGAGACAACCCCCTGGCCAGCATATATAACGGGCTTCTTGGCGATATTCATTAAACCAGCTACTCGGCGAAGAGAAGCTTGAAGCTGCTTCTGAGAAATTTCCATGGCGGCACGCGACGCTGCACTAGGTAAGCCTGGGATGGCTGACTCGGTAGGGATGGCCCTTCTTAGGACACCAGCAGTAACATCTTTAGGTAGATCAACGAGCACAGGACCCGGACGCCCGCTAGTCGCAATGTCGAAGGCCTCGTTGATGCGTCGCGGTAATTCGGCAGTATTTTTAACCATGACGTTCCACTTGGTACAAGATCTCGATATTCCCACAACGTCTGCTTCCTGGAAAGCATCGCTTCCAATCACACTCGTAGGAACCTGGCCACAAAAAACAACTAATGGTGTGCCATCAGACATGGCGTCCTGAATTGGAGTAATGACGTTAGTGGCACCTGGACCGGAAGTGACTAGCACAACGCCAGGTTTTCCAGAAGCACGCGCATAGCCCTCGGCCATATGTCCGGCGCCTTGTTCATGCTTCGGTAAGATGAATTCGAAATGTTTTGAGTTGTAAATGGCATCAAACACAGGTAGAATAGCCCCGCCGGGGTAGCCAACTGTAACTCATATTAGACGTCTCTTCAAATACCATGTAGGCGTATATGCAACGTACAAATGTGCTTAACACCCCTCCTAAGCATCATTTCATGGAAAATCTCTCCTCCAGTCTTCCCAATGAACCTAGAAATACTTGGTCAGCATCGTGGACTTTAACGAAATAGGCCAGAATGGATAGAACATACGACTCGTCCATCTCAGGAGCTCGAGGGTTGACCAAGGGTTGAACATGGTTTCGGTCTTTCGTGTCGGTAGTGTTGAACGCTGGAGCGGGGGCTTGTCTGGGCTGACTATATAATGTATAATGTTAGTAATGTAGTCGAAGATAGAATAAGTGTACGTGGGAAATAGCCACTGGATAGAAAGCGTGTAAGTGAGAAAAGGATATTAACGTACGCAGGCGATTGAGCTGAAGTAGCCTGACTTCTGACACCTGTAGGGGCGTTCTTCTTGGTCTGGACAACGGAAGAGATAGACGACGTAGTGAGAGAGCGGCGTTGTTGTCGCGAAGTCTGAGCCAAAGCCTTTTTTAAGGCTTGGCCAGCTTGCCGTGAACGAAGCATGGCGAAAAGAGGGGAGATGGCAAAATAGAAAAAGGATAAGAAAGAATAGCCAGCAAGGATTTTGAGGGTATCAACAAACCGAAATCAGTCTATGGTGAGATATCCTCAAACACTACCCGCCAGCACCTTCGTTAGGAGTAGGTGACTGATCAATGGCAAGAGATGTTACGATTATTGGAAGATTTATTAGTTTAGCTCAAGAGTCATAGAACTAAATTCAATTCGGTGAACCCGACAGCGGAACACAAAAAAAAAGTTAAAACAAAGACTGTGGGGTATGCAAGGGAGGGGCCATCAGGGACCCTTGTAAGTGCCTGCTGCTGCGTTGTGGCTGCTACCAGGTATGTAGTCAGGTAGTACACTACCGTTTTCTGCCGTACCCTGCCGTACCAGCGTACCTGCTCCCCTTGTTGTAACCAACATCTTGGAACTTAACAAACCAATACTTCGGTGGCAATTGGCGATATCGGCATTTTTCCGAAAATTTCTTCAGCTACTGATTGGTCCCCACACCCCACACCCCGATTCACGATTTTCTTTTAGCGATCTAGAACACCAGATATACTACTTCATACAATATGTACGCCATCAGCTATTTATATAGAGTAAATGTACTTCATAGTGCAGGACTCAAATATGTAAGTCATCATGTAAGTATCAAACAATATATTGCGGCAAGGCTCCTCCTTTTAATGGAGAGGATTTTTAGTTTGAACCAGCATGTTGACACCTTTCCATGGGAGGTTTGGAGTCATATATACTTTACGGTATAGTATGTTCAAGGCTAATTCCCAGGGTAAGTTTGCGACTTACCTAGTAACAAGTCTGCAAGTCTGCGTGATCTTATATATACGAGCAAATTGAAGCAATTGAGTAAGAGGCTTTATCTCGCTTGTATGTAAATGGTTGGAGGATGGAAATGTGCGTAATGTTTATCGTATGTTTAGTCATTGCATTGCTCGCGTGCTTTTAAAAGAATCGGAAGTCTATGCTGTATGTTATGTTAACTTAGGCAGTTCATAATGAAAACCAAGGCATATTTCAACGCGATGCAACTTAATACGAATCAAGTAGTCGAGGATATAACTATTTCAAAGTCCTTCATTGCTGTTGGTGCTTGTTAAGTCCCAGTTGATACATTTTTGAGTAGTTAGTATTCTATCCGGTGAAAGCTATTACATGTATGTAGTTACCTACGTGTAAATATACTGATACCTTGGGTACAGAAAAAGCCATCATTATGTAATTTAGGTAATGATTGAATTTAATCCAGAAGAGAGTTTATAATCTTGTCTTCGATTTGTCCCACCAACGAATAGAGTTTACTACAACCACCGCATTGGGAACTTTTCAGTTCCCTGCCCCACTATCGAGTTTGTCGTTTCGTACTTCCTTAACAACATTGAAACATTCATTATTTTCGCCCTTCTCAACGATCAAATAAACACATCTTTAATCCAGATCAGGCAGTACTTTATATCAGGTAGGAAATAACCTGACAGGCGCTTATCTTTTTCAATGCATTGCATACATGTGCATTTAAATCATACGCGACTCCACGTGTCTTGGCTATAGACACCACTAAGATAACGACGATGAGACTTCGAAAATCAAACCAAGGGAAGCGCTTTAACAACGGTCTAGCTTTCAATCTTTCCGATGGAGAACAATCGGATTTAACACGACAAGTCCGCGATTTTTCTGATGATGAATTCGTAGTAGGCGCCCAACCGCTGGATCGCAAAGATGAGCAGGACGATGATCCTCAGGATTCTTCGGATTTTGAATCACTAGATGGCAGGCAGTCTGAATCAAGGCGCAAGAAAAACAGGCGCTCCTGGGCACCAAATCCAGCCAAACCACTTGGCGAAGTACAGCCCTACCCAACAGACCCTGCACAGAAATGGACAAGGACTTACGTTGGCCCAGTCAAAAGATGGACGCGGCTTGAATACCTGGTCGATTATTGGTTTGGTGATATGGAAGACCGCAGAGAAGTCTTCAATGAATTCATGAAATTGTGGTTCAACTTTCAGCTTTTACCTCCCAAGCTCCCACAAGGATCCCACCAGTTAGAGGTAGCGCGGAACGGGTGGATGTCCGGTGATTTCACCCAGCATATCGAAAATAAGTATCGTCATTGGTATGAGAGATATCTAGCCATACGAACTAGATCGCAAGAATCAACTCTTATAGATAAAGCGAAGGCGTTCCGGTGGTTTCTTCCACGAGCCGACCGTGAGATGCGCGTGTTACTCGGTCATGTATCGAATCAGAAAGAATACCTTATTAAGCAAGGAGAATGCATATCATTATCGGATTCTGGACTTCCAATCGAGGATGAAAGCAATAATGAGCTGCAGAACGGCGGTTGGCTGCTTGATGTTGGGGGCATCGTCCTTTCTATGGGATGGGCTCCAGTCAAAGACCATGCAGACCAGCTCCTAGCTATGTCAGTCATCCCACATTCGGACCAGGCCTTTTATAGGGATCTAAATAATGCACCAAAACCGTCAGAACTAAGAGAGGGAGCCATTCAGATTTGGAAATTCAAGGCCGAAAAAGACTCTGGAGGGATCAGTCGACCAGCGCGATCCTCTCCGGAATTAATACATGCAATATGCTTCTATTGGGGAAGAGTAAAACGAATGCAGTGGTGTCCCGTCCCGCTCACCATTACGCATGGCATAGCTCTCTTGGCTGCGTTGTGTGGAGATGGAAAGTTGAGGATCATGGAGATCAAGCGGGATCCAGAGAGAGACAGCATTGGAACTTATGGTAAGGATCTAGAATATAATAGGAGAGGCTTGAGGATTGCTGATATTTTAGTAGAAGAAATGCAGGAACCGATGGCCACTATAGAGCCTCCTAAGGAACATACTCTGGAAATAAATTGCTTTTCCTGGCTGAATATGAACCGTATTGTTGTTGGCCTCTCTGACGGCTCCGTAGTAGTATGGTCGGTTTCGCCCTTCCAGCAATTGCAACGCCACCCCGTTCACTCGAGCCCTATAATGGACATCGTATCAGGTTACCCCTCTAAACCCTTTCTTATTGCGACGATGCCTATGGGGGGTGTGTTCACTTTGACCGACTTGAACCGACCTACCTCAGAGAAGACATACCATGGAAACCCGTTGGTTTCCCTTCAGCCAAACGTCCTTTCTTGGAGCGACCAGTTAAGGGGTTTCGCATCTATATGGCCTACCTCGTTTCCGGGAACATCAACCGTTTCTTTCGTGCATTCTCGGGTATTCCCTCTTTCCCGTCATATATGCACCGTAGAGGGCCAGACAAGCTGTCTTGCGTTCGGAACATGTCACCCATGCCTTCTCGTCGGAAGCTCAGATGGATCAGTCTGGACCCTTAACGTTATGCGCAAAGTATTATCGCACAGAGAGAAAACACATAAGATCAAAATCTTTCAGCATGAATATGCTGCGCCTCGACCTCCTGATGCTACGAATGACGATGGTGAGCAAATTCCGCCACGTGGGGGATGTCGTATCCTCCATGGATTTTTACCTCAAGTCAATTTTCATCCCCTAGGCACGAGGATCGCGAAGGAGAGCAGGGTTAAGCGTGCTAGAGGGGAGAAGAAAGCGGCTAATAAGAAGGCCGAGAAGCCGGAGAATGAAGAACCGTTTGAAGACCCAGCAGAATCAGATGAGGATTACTTCACTATGGTTCCAGCCCCTATCGTCGTCCACGAGCCCCAGACCCGCATTACGGCGTTATGTTGGAATCCGAACGTGGAGTTTAGCTGGTGGGCCGCGGCAGCAATGGGGTCCGGGCTAGTGAGAGTCATGGATCTTGGTATCGAGAAAGCCCAAGGGGAGCCAGAAGAGAACCCTGAGGGGCTCGAATCAGCCGAGCCAAATTTTGAACGTGATGATGATGGTCGCAATGGAGATATCGAAATGGGGGATGGCCCAGACGGCGATGTCGAGCTAGTAGAATAGGCATGATGAAACGGTGTAGGATATAAGGACAGCCTTGCAGCAATTCGCGTGGCTACTTGATCATATATAAACGCATAGGCACCTAAGAAGCCACGAGTTGGGAGTACACATACTCATATATCCATCGACTTCACCACGTGCCAGATCCTATTAATTGCTCTTTCTAAGGAATTGTCTATAGAACGCTTGTAGGGCAGAATACAATAGTCCCCTACTTAGTCTATAGTACAGGCATGCTATCAGAACCAACAGAGATCTTCGTATGTACTTGATTCCGTCCTTCATTATAATTAGGTACATAATAACCATACTCGCCGCCTGCTGCAATCGACTATTGAAAACTATTAATTCTAGATGTAGTGTAGTATACATTACTTAGTTACCCCCGTGTGCACAGTCAACTTCGCCGAGAGGAAGACAATGATGCGTCCCCAAAATTACACCAATTCCGTTGTGGGCTATCTCAAGCGGTTAGCTTTTTGGATCCCATAAATGGTGCCTCGTGAAAGGGAACACGGTAACCCTAATTTATTGTCAATTACGTTCTAGCATTCTCCCCCCATGATACTGTGGTGATGATCGAACGCTTTAATCATGCCGGTCAAATGTGATGCGGCCGCAAGTAAGACGAGGACATGAAATAGCTGATGAGAGCTACCCCATATGTCAAAGGTCCGTGGAAAACTTCGTTCAGGCCATCGGACCTATATAAGTGTTAGTACTTTTTCAGCGGTATGTAGATATTTCAGTAACTCACTGCATACTATATCACTAAAGTCAGCGGGTTCTACTCGTAGAACGTTGGGTAAATTCTAGTTTATGAGATGTTGTGTCCGTGGACATATTCCAACCTACAATGAGGCTCTAAGGAAGGAGGTGGTGGGAAACTCCAGGGGGGACTTACAAGAAACGCTCCAAAGATGTATAGGAATCCTTGGAATAAAACCCAGTCAAGACCCATACGCTCATTGAGTGTCTGATAACCGTATATACGAAGCGCATGGCAGACAGGGACAACTCCAGATACACCCAGGCCCACAAACATGGCCGCTCGGTAGGGTCTCCATCGTGGTGTCCGGAACTGCTCGACCCAAGACACCACACCACAGCCAAAGCCTAGAAGGGATATCTATACGGAAAGAGAATATCTTAGCGCCTGAACTTGTTTTCCTCTTATACGAGATGTAGGTGGACTGTTCTCAACGTGATCTGGACAATAGGGGTATACATACCCCGTACAAATAGATCGTCATTTGTTTCGGTATGCAGAATAGACCGTAATAGAGGGCCGGAACGTAACTCCCCACGATAAGAAAGACGATGCCGGAGTAATCCAACTTGTTCCCCCACTTCGCTACTTCCGCGGAATGATTCAGAAGTGTGTCTATTATATGTTAGGGACCTTCACAAGGGAAATATGTCTTATTGGAAGAGCATCTAGATGGAGTGATACACTATCATCCAAAATTTCCTAAATAGTATCATAGAATGCCATGAGAGAGAGAGATGTGGGATTAATAGCAAGGTGCTGACGACTTACTGCTCATCAATTAGTAAACCTACGGGGAAATAGCTTCAAACTAGAGGCTATGGCTCACAACTAGTCGCAGGAAGGGGTAGTAGGGTTCTTCACACATACCGGAACGTAGCGCTCATACCGAGACACAGAACTGCGCCAGTAAAGAAACAAGCGAACACCAACACGTCCGAGCTGTCTGCGGATGCGTACCGAGGCGCAATAACGTGATACAACCAAGCCCCTACAGCGGGAAAGAAGATGGCGCCGAGGAGATGCGTCCAGATGTTAACGAAATCGTTATGGACGTAGAAGATCGAGGTGAAGGACCGCCAGTAGCTGTTGCTGTCCGGACGGTATCCCGAGACGATGTAATGGTTATCGCGCCGCCAGGACGGCAGGTCGTCCCACAGCACAAGCAACGCCGAGGCGACCTTCTGCTCTACGTCCCTGGCGGTTTGTACGAAGCTTGCGCGGCGCTTCCGGAGGCCGGAGTCCGGATGTGTGTCAGCCATGGTATGTTAGGCAGGAACGGGAATCCCGGCTTCGTTCCGTTTATCGTTTCAGTCCGAACGGATCTCTAGACTATTACTGCTATACCCCCACTAAGAACAAACGCAAGAAATACAAATAAATTTGTAATCTAAAACTTTTCACTTTTTTCTATGCTCTATGCTCTATGCTCTTTGCTTTGGAGAGAAACGTTGGGCCGTGTACGAAGTAAATCTGGTAAATCTCGTAAGTTTTGTTGAGAAATTAGTGGCACTGGTGAAAGTCCTGGCAGCTGTTTTCACTTGGTGGGTCGAACTCTTTAATTCCTTCGTCTCTTTTACTCGGTGCTATTGGGACGACTTATACGAAGATCAAGGAAAGTCTAGCGTATAATATCATGTAGTGCTTTACTCCAGTCATATACACCTAGGTAGGTATATATATAGGCATGTATATATCAGGTGGAATAAAAGGTATATTGAAAGTCATCGCGATAAAGTATGCCCATTAACCCTGGCTACAACATGAAAGTCATCCATCCGTAAACACCCACGCTCTATGCATCCATGTTCTCGGCGCCATAGCTTCGTCACTTCCGTGAATCGTATGATCGTAGGATTGCATGTCTTATTTCTTGCCGCTCCTCTTGATTCCCTGTCCGCCGGTGCTCAATGGTCCTTTTCCACCAGCCATCTTGGCCATCTCTTTGCGCTCCTTCTCTTCTGTTAATCGAGGTTAGCGATGGATTATAGTATTGAATCGTCGTCAAAGAACATACGCTGTCTCAGCTTCTCTTGGTGAGCCTTGTCCTCGTCGTCGTAATCCTTATTTTGCTTCTTAGCAGCCTTCAAGGGCTTGACCTTGCCGCCTAACAAAATATCGTTGTCAGCCGAAGTCTACTTAGCGCACGGATTATATAGATCCCAAATTACCTTCTCTGTTCTGGCCACCCATTTTGAATGAGGTTTTTTTTCGTGCTGGTGCTTTTGATAGAGATGGTTTTTACACGAGAGGTTAGATGGATTGTATTTGTCCGTTACGAGTGGCGGAAGAAAAAGGCTGTCGCGAAGGAAAGAGAAAATGAACCAAAGTCTGGAACAGCCGAAGAAGATGTGCTGACCGCGGGGCACTAACGAAGAAAGGGTCCAATGGCACTAATCCCAGTTTATATTAGCTTAGATCCATAAGGTACGAACTATCAGGTACCGTCGCACGGACATGAATCACAACGTGCGTTTAGGCCCAAGTCTGCCCAGGTCTTGATTTGCACAGCCCCAAGTGGACCGGGCAAACATTCCCGTCCACTCATTTGATAAGCAACTCGGACTCGGTAATACGTAATTCCTTTTATTGAGGCGTTCAAGGTTGGGCGCAGCAGCAGTAGATCTAACGTAAGTTGTTTTATCACATCGTCACCACATGCAGTCCAGACTTGAAGCCATTCAAAAAATTACCGAATTAGGAACATCTAAACCCATACCCCTTCAACGGAAGCACCTTACCCGTAATAGCTCTTTGCTTTGACTACACGGCATCCCGCATACCTTGCCGGACGTTATATATCATCTTCCCGTATTCGATATTTTGATTTACGATGCGACGGAATTGAAGAGACGCTTTGACGGTTCGGCTCAATTCTATGCACCTCCAATAACGAAATTTTTGTGGCTGACAAGTATTCCCCTTATATCAAGATCGGGAAGACACCCGCGCTTCTTAGGCCTAGTTTCTTGATACAGTGAGCAAAAAATGGCAACTCCTCCTAGTTCTGACGAAGGGGAGATTGTAGAGAATGGCGTTGGAGACTTGAAGGCAACTTCACTGCCTCAGTTTGAAGGAACCGGTGTTGACCGTATCGACAGAACTCGAGCTAGATATTCAAGATCAAAATCACCCGATAATGTGAACGGCTCGAGATATGCCCCCGGCCCTTCTCGACGAAGTCGCTCTCCTCGCGGACGTAAGCGTCCCCGCGATGATCGTTATTTGCATCGTGGTAGCCGCCTAGATTCGGATCCGCGACGATTTCGCGTACACTACGAGGACAATACCGACGGTTACCGCCGGTCGCGCTTGTCGTACGATGACGAGGACCGCCCCCCTTCACGTTCGTCGGCGCCCAACCTCTACTATGACGATAGGGATCGAGACTATACTACTCGTACTAAAGGGAGAGATCGAAGTCGAGACCGTGAATCCCACCCTAGGAAGCGCCATAGAAACCGCTCTCGTTCTCCGTATAGACCACCGAACGATAGAAATCAAGGAGGCAAGTTGCGGTATGATGACAGCAGGCATCAACGCGCTCCTGATCAAGACAGCGTAGGAAGTGTTAGGTCGAGCCATCAAGGCACCCCTCGGCATTCACAAGATCATGCAAAGTATCATGAGCGACAAGATTCGGTAGAAACACAAGGTACTAGCAAAGATGACACTAAACGTGCACCAGGTAGTTCGGAGGAAACTACTCTTACAGCTCCAACCCAGCCCAGCGAACCGGATAAGGACTACGAAGAGAAGCCTGAAAACATAGAGGCGGAATTAGAGCGCCGACGCCGACGTCGTGAAGAGCTTCTCGCCAAATCACGCGGTGCTACGCCAATGCTAGTCCAAGCTCTCCAGGCTTCCGAAAAGACGAATGCATCCTCGCCAGGGCGGACACGAGCAAGCACACCTATGGTCATTGATGGAAACACGCCCGGTTCTTGTAAGGATCTCCTAGCTCTGTAAGAACGTCGAGTAATATCTAACCCTTTTCACAGTTACCTCATCGCCGAACTCACCAGCCCGTGCTCTTCAAGAAGGGATGTCACCTGGTGCAATCGAGATTTCTAATGATCAAGAGCTCATCAACATCCATGGTAAATTTAAAGGTACTGATGATGATGGGCCTTCCGCTGCAGACTATGATCCAACTGTAGATATGAGAGAGGATGAATTACGAGATGAGCTTCGACATGGTCACATTGGCCCTCACGGAGAGATGCTTCCTCCTGATGAAAAGGCCGAAATCGCTATAATAGAAGAGCCGCAAGCAGCAGAGAAGCCGAAGACTGACGAAGACGAAGACTTCGATATGTTCGCCGAAGAGTTCGATGAAGAGAAGTTTGCTGTCCCCAAACCCGCTCATCTAGACACCGCCGTAGACAACCACAAAGCCCCTCTTGCTGTTATTCAGCCCAATGCCGGTGGTATTCTCGAGGGAGACGATAAAGATGGATATTACAAAATCCGAATCGGTGAGATCATGGACGGTCGATACCAAGTCCAAACAACTCTAGGTAAAGGCATGTTTTCCGGTGTCGCTCGAGCAGTCGACATTACAAGTAAGAAATTGGTTGCCATTAAGATGATGCGGAACAACGATGCTCTCAGAAAGGGTGGCTTTACCGAGATCGCGATTTTGCAAAAATTAAACGACGCTGACCCTGAAAATCGTAAGCACATTGTCAAGTTCGAGCGGTATTTCGAACACAAGGGTCACCTCTGTCTTGCGTTTGAGAACCTCAGCCTAAACTTAAGAGAGGTCTTAAGGAAGTTTGGTAACAATATCGGCATTAATCTGGGCGCGACGCGCGCCTATGCACATCAGATATTCGTTGCTTTAACTCATCTTCGCAAATGCAGTATCATTCATGCTGACTTGAAGCCGGACAATATCTTGGTAAGCAAGCACATCATGCAGAGCGGGTTAAGCCGTCACTAATCATGTGCAGGTAAACGAAACTCGCAATGTCCTCAAGATCTGTGATTTGGGCACAGCTATTGATAGATCAGACGCTGCAACCGCGAACAACGAAATCACACCGTACCTAGTCAGTCGGTTTTATCGAGCTCCGGAGATCATTCTCGGGATGCCGTATGATTATGCCGTCGACATGTGGTCAATAGGGTGCACCTTATACGAGCTTTACACCGGCAAAATCCTATTTACAGGTGACAGTAACAACCAGATGCTCAGGGCCATCATGGAAATCCGCGGCAAGTTTAGCAGCAAGTTGTACAAACGTGGCCAGTTATCTCATATGCATTTTGACGACTTCGGAAATTTCATTAGCCTCGAGACAGATAAAGCGCTTGGAAAGGTACGTTCACATTTCTTAGTTCACTAATACCTCCGTTACATCTTGCTAGAGAATCTTTGGTATGGTTCCCTTCGGGTTTCTATTTATATACAGCGTTTAAGTAGGCGCTTTTCTGGAAACCCAGGCTACTGTGGGCTCCGGGGTGCGGCTGCAAGCTGCAGGCAAGTCACAATGCAAGCTAGCCGCACGGATATCCTTGTTCAGGTTGGTCGTCCTCTTGCCGTCGGGATTACTCTACTGTGTGTCAGCGAGCAGTCAGTATGGAATCCTACGGTCATATTTCATCATTGCTGTGCCAGGTTGGGGTGCATTCAATGCGCCTGCGATACTAGTACTGCCAGGTCTCGCAACGTTGAGCTGACGCTCTCGACCAACCTCCAACCCATTCCTTTGTCCCAATTCTGTTCGACCCCGTGTCTCTTTCGTCTAGCATTTGAAATAGTACATTCGGGACCTACAAGCTGACTGATATTCAGACCACCATACGGACCCTAGCCGTTGTCAAGCCGACCCGTGATTTGCGTACTCGCCTCTTGGCTGCCTCTGGTGGCATGAATGATGTGGAGTCTAGGGATCTCAATCACTTCATAGACCTACTAGAAAGATGTCTAACGCTCAACCCGGACAAAAGAATTACTCCGTCCGAGGCACTCAAGCATCCTTTCTTTGCGGCTAAGATTATTGGACCCTCAAGATAGTGCCCTGGGGGTTTCCCGCGAGGATCACGTTGACGTGGTGCGCGTTAACCTTATAGGTTGTCTATAACCCCCCCGGTCTGCGTCGCTCACTAGCAGATGTCATAAGGATCCCTGAATAATCCCAGGGTATTTTGGACTATTCCGGTACCGTTGAGTGTGATAATGCGATTTCGTTCCAAGAGGCTTCTCGTCGGTAGTATCACGCCGGCTACGTTCCCTCAAGCGGACACATGTCGCTATCATTACCCTGTTCTAGTTACCCGGCCTTCGTGATTCGGGGTTTTGGTCTAAGTGGAAACTCGACCATTATAATTACTATGAGGCTAGGCGATCCAAACAAGGGGGCGCGAACATAAGTTCATATTAATCAGAATTTAGGGCAAATGAATAACCATTCAATTGTTGGATTTTTACTTCCGCATTCAGTGCTGGCTAATAATGTAAACCTTGATGCAAAAGCCAGCGCTCCATCGGCGTCTGGTGACATAGGAAAGCACGTTGGTGCTAGGCCTTAGCCTATTCATGCAATATCAACAAAAAAAATCAGATGTATCTCAACAAATGCTTTGCATGAAAGAGGATCATATACTATGTACATAACCATTTCAATGACATGTCAGCGTCGGTCATCTCAAGTGGGAGCTTGTCCACCCCGCCTCAGTTATTGACCACAGTAGAATCACTTGTTTTATCTCACCCACGTTAAGGGTAAATCCCCCGGGTCGTGTCCGGATGAAAATCAGTGTCTTACCAAAGATTTGATTCGATAGTTATACAGAATACTAATGTTCTCGAAACTACGCCCCCATGTCTGAGTTGTATGGCTAGTGTAATTCGTTTCCCGTAGACGGGTGATGGTGTTACGTCTTCATTACACCTATTGTCAAGTTAGGAAAGAATTGGTGTTGTCATTGATGCTTCTGTGATGCTGAAGATGCCACGAAGGCTCACTCGAACACATGAGCGATGAAATTTACTACTATCTCATCCTCGGGTATAACTATAGGATACTTATTATCCCTCTTTCGTTAGGTAGTCGCTTAGGACTGTTACGTGGAGCTGGAGCCGTCTATGCTTTTTTAGAATCTCTAAGAAGTCCAGCTGAAGTCATGTTGTAACGGTGAACACAGCCTTGACGCCCGTAGCCGGCTATCCCTCCTGTCCTACCAATTTACAGATCCCGACCCCAAACAGGATCATTAAGCTCTTCACAGACTAACATCGATAAATCCCGGTGGGTACAGAAATTTAAGTGGCCATGAAAGGAGACTTCGATATCACCCAACGTTGACCCAACGTTGATATATGGTCTACCAGGGAACAATTGACTGCCAAGAATACACTGCAGCATTTTACGAACCCGGTGGTCTGTTTTCCAGATCTAGCACTTCCTCCGGGCAAACTTCACTGGCGCTGTGAGGTATGAGGAATGAGAATGATCCATCTTGGACCCTACGCACATAGTTTGAAGACGGGGCGGAAACATAAGGCAATCTAGGCATCCAATTATACTCAGAACTCCCGCAAGTATCCTTCCTTTTCTTGTCGGCATTGCGAGCTCTTAAGAGGCTACTATTTTTACCATCCTTCCTTGACCGTATAAAAGACGCGCCCCGATCACCCACATCGCATTATTTATCTACCTTCAACGTATTTTCGTCGTTTAGACGTAAAGATGCGCATTGAAGGGCTCCACGTACGTGATACGACCCCAGGAAGGATCCGGGGGCGATCCTATGATCAATTGAAAAGTAGTTTGCCGTTCCCGTGGCTGAGCCTCTCACCTACATACAGACGAGTAGTGTCACTGGACCTAATTATTATTAGCGACGGGCTGTATGGCTTTCTCCTCGCATCTTGTTACATTTTCTATTCCATTGGCAGTACATTATGGAATATTAAAAGTAAAATAGCATCAGTATAGCCACGTTGCCTTCGTCCTATCTAGTCAGCTTCGTTGTCGGGCTAGTTGTACTATAACGTGCTCTTGCCACAGGACTTATGTCGTAGGACGGCGGGGCTAACAATAAGCTCGGGAAATGAAGCAATTAACGAGATCTATCTAGAGGCACAGCTGCCTACAGCCCGGCCCCAGCAGAGCGCACACGCGTACGAGCTACCACGACGCATCTAAACAGTGGTCTAGACTTTGAGATACACAGGAGTTCTTAGACATGCAGATATGGAAGACCTAGTTTAACTGAACAGACACAATGCACATACCCGCCGAAGCGCGTCAGTTCGCTGTCGTGGCCCGGGGCGGGGCGACGACGCACGAACGAGCTGGTATCGATGGGGTGGTGGTGTTGAGGCTGTGCTTGGATGTTATTGCCGCTACGATGTATCACTAGACGTAAACTACGATGGCTCGCATTCAATCATAATCGTACACTAATGCTATGGTGTCACGTCTCATCAGATCGAGTTACAACTATTTTTTTCTTAGTTTCTGGTTTATTTTCACAGTTGGATATTTACATCGACGTCGCCATCGCATTGACCAATGAGATGAGGCCATCAGGACAAAGGGTACTCTAAATATAACCCCCAGATTCATGCGTAAACTGTAGGTCAGATAGGAGGCCGCCGCCACGAGGCTTAGCCTTGACTATACGGCCAAGTAGGAGGCCACAGCTGGCGGTTAAGTGTAGATTGTATCGTGACTAAGAAGAGTTGTTGTCAACGTATGTAAACAACCCGGGTCTCAGACCACAAACGAAAACGCCACAAATTCACTCAAATAGGGGTCCAAGAGATGTTAGGATCGTTGCCGCTTCAGTGCTGTGCCGTGTTTCCTCGCAGCGAGCACGGGATGCATGTGCGCGGCTTTGTCTCAACCCGGCGGCAAGTTACTCATGCGCTCATGTAATATGTCCATAGTAGTAATATTGTTGATGGCGATGGTGTGCATGGGCTTGAGGTAGGATCGCCGTGCCATGTCTAACTGAAGCCGTTGGAGAGCTAGACATGTTGCAATGCTTGACTCATCGAATAGGCAACGATAGCCATTCGGGATAATGGCCGGCAGCTACCCGAAACCCGCACCTACACGATGGGGTCCATGCCGGCGACCGGCCTAGGCGACATGTCAGATCTGGCGGCCGCCGGGTTGTAGTCGTGCGGCTATTGTGCTCCGGTATCCAACGGGTTCACAAGTTGCGGAGGGGGGCAAGGGATCTATCCGTACATAGACCGTAACGCAAGGGACGGCTTCCCCACCCTGTATGATGTGCGTGGACGTGTAGGTCAGGCTGGTACAGCAGAAACACCTCATCAGCTCAGGGGCAAGAGGATGAATTGTATTACCCGTGGTGTAAAAGGCTAGATCACATAGAAAGATCCCGAGCCACTGATGAAATTGATGATGTGTAAAGGACGACCCTGAGACAAGTAGGCTTGAATTGAACCATGGCGGATCCGAACCACGGCCTTGGGAACACCAATAAGGAAGCTCATCATCAATATGAGATGTATGTATTAAGAAGCCGGCCGGCGGGGCTTACAGATCGGCACTAATTACGCAACGGGCGTGGTCTAGCAGGTTGATCTTGAGTCCCTGATGACGGCAACGACGAAACTTCCTTAGCAAAGCCCATTTTTGATTATCAGTTGGTCCAATTGAGTGTTAATTCTCGACTGCCCGATTTACGAACTCTCTAAGCCTCCTCCCAGACTACTGGATGATACGAGGGAGAAAAAAAAACCCAGTTCTATCGCTATCTGTTGCTGTTGTTGTTTACTATATCCAACAATTAGATTAAAAGCTGGCGATCCTGACGTATCTTTGATGTCCGTGTTTGTTTCGTGTGCCTCGTCTCGGCTGTAACAAGTGTCTAGGGCTGCGTAGGACAGTTGTGATGAGAACTGGCCCCGCCCCTGTTGGGA